TATCCTTTACCTTTTCTCTATCATGTAGCCATAGATGTAGTTCGTAGTTTGGAGCTCTCGTCGAACCTCCATAGGAGTAGAAGTAATTTAATTTAGATCTCGTTCCCAAAACCATCAATCAAACACCCTCGTTCGAACTTTGTTTGAAGAGGTGTGAGCCGTGTCTTAGTAATCGTTGCCCAAAGAAGTCAAAGGTGCATTAATCTCATTTCAACGCAAGTTTCCTCGTCGGAAAACAGCTATATATTAGCTTCTTCCTTCTTAATTCCAACCTTTCTCTCAAATATTTACTTTCTAAGCAATGTCTGGGAAAGAAAGAGAAAAGGCAATGGTGGGAAACATGGAGTAGCTAGCCCACATTAATTCCATTTCTATGTAGTACAGTATGCTTACTCGATCCCTTACACCATCTTGTTCTCTTCTGCCAAGTCAAAAATGCAATTCGCTATTGCTTGCATATCAATTGAATATAATCATCCTGGCCCCAATCCTTCGTTGATGGTATTATCGTTTCATGTACCCATTTTACCATCAAGAATAGGTGTGTCATTGTGTCCAACCCAATACACTGGTCGATTCATTAAAGTTTTGACATAGTATTGGATGAGACGAATATGTTCCAATAATTTTAGTTGTTGAATTTGAAGAAGAAAAAAACGAGATCTTTTGATTATGGTAATTTGATAAGTTTAGTTATTTCTAATAAAGTGTATGCCTATATACTAGACACAATATTGATAATTTTCATTTTTTACATTGAGAAATGTAAAAGACAACTGTGAGAGCATACCAATTTGGCCCCTATTCTATCTCTTTGTATATCGTGTTCTTTGGTTGTGTTTTTCCCTAGCTGGGGTTTGAATTCATGGATAGAATGGAATGCATGCTTTCTAGGAATTGATCACAATCCCCACCCAATTCAGGCTAACCATAAACCAAAATAAATGCCCACTGCAAAAAACCTATTGAAACAGTCCCATCCCTGGAGCTCATAAAAAGTTGTCCACAAATTATCCCTCTGCCATTCCTATTTCCATCCCCAAGAACATTAAAAACCCATCAAAACTGTGCAACAAGTTGACTTGCACCATACATCATCATAAACAAAACAAACAAACAAAAAAGGATGGTTCGTTGGATTGCATGCCCTAGAGAAGCCTTGGATTTGAATCAGTACAAAGGGTTCGGTGACTTGGTCCATCATCGAACTTAATTACTCAACCTTTTGGTTCAGCAAACTTCAAATACGATAAATGCGTTAAGATTCACGAGAATGTCATCATATTTCAATTATGGGTGGCTTACATTACATGAGTCTTTAATTTGGAAACCCACTTCTTAATAGAAATTAAAAACTTCTTAGCCGATCATTCTATCTGGATATTTCCATCAGAAATGAGAAAAGAATTTCAGAGGAGTAGAGAGAGATATATGTGGAAAAAGAACAGACGCACAGACTAAGGCGGGATTCCCGCGGGATCCAAAACACTGATACAGAAGGAAGGAAGGATCCTCCCTTCTTTTCTCTCTTCTTTCCTTTCCTTTCCTTTCCTTTGGACCAGTCAGTCCCCACCTAAATGCATTTCCTGTTTTCTTTATCTTAAGAAAACATTACTAGAATGTATATATATTATCCTGAATGAAATCCTGATTCATATATTATATATATCTAGAAAGAGGGAGAGGAAAAAACCAAAAGCAATAATAAATAGGCTGGACTAACAAACAAACAGCATGTATCGCAAGTGCATGGCTCCCCAATGGAGAAAAAAACACCCAGTATATATATATAGCACAACAATTTCATCTATATTAGTATTATAATGGATATTAGTAGGAATTTATGGGGAAATCTGGGCACACGTGGCAAGGAAGAGGTCGACATGTCAATGCAATGCAATGGCGGGGAGAGGGTTTTTGTGGGATACGGTCAAAGACGAAAGGTCAGTACTGTCAGAATAAGACACAATTGACAATTGATAACAAGAAACCCCATTTATTTTATTTATTTACTTTCTTATTGTTATAAAGAATGAAAAACAGAGAGAGGAAGAAAGGGAGGGAAATGATTTTGCAATCGATTGCTTTATGATTGACGCCTCGCTGACACTAGCAATGTAGCATAGACAGAGAGAGGGCAATGGTGTCAGCAGCTTTGTCCTTTCACTTCTCTCTCTCTCCCTCTCTGGAATTCTCGTCTATTTCTTTCTTCCCATAATTCTCTGCAAAAATACATTTTGACTGCACCTACCCAAGTAAAAAACCACCACAGTTACTGCTGATGAACAGGATTCATAAGGGGTGGGTTTGTTTTCTTGGAATTGGAAGGCTGAAAAAGGACTAGGGAGGGAGATGTCATATATGCACAGGAATTTCATCACCTTTATTAAGCATGCTTATGTTCGACCATAACGAATACTAAGTTGTCTCCCTTTTCGGTATATTGAATTTTGGCCCAAAACGCTTCAACAGGCAAACGAGTCCAAAATACAGAAGCCCACTTCGATTCATTACATGGGCTCATCGTCCTTTCTTGATTTCGGCTGAGACCCATATTTCAAAATTTCTTCCCCATTCTTTCTATCTAGCTATACTGATGTTGCTTTCTCCAAAATTTCACTACTTTAGTTCATGACGGGGAACCGTGACAAAGCTTGATCTTACCCCATAAAAGGAAAAGGGTAGAGTCAGTAGGGAAAGAAACCCATTTTGAATAAGAGGAGAGTGTGCACAGACATACTAATTGCCCTCCCCTAAAACAGAAGAAAGTGATATGTGAAAGAAAATCACTCTCCTACTAAGGGTGGAGAGGTTCCTTTCAAAGCTTCTAACAACCACTTTAATGGAGAGCTTGCTGGTAAAGTGAACTTGTCAGGAAACTTCTTTTGCTCATTTATAGGGAGTTTTTGGCTTCCTTTTCACTTTTGCTAATTCCCCATACATGGCATGTTTTACCTATCTTTTGGTTATTCCTCCATTTGTGTATGTGCTTGTGTTGTAGTAGTATGGTCCATGAAACCGTACCGGAGACCGTACCGGGAAAGTCAGCGGTAGGGTATTTTATGGTAAAACCGTGGTTTAACCGTAGTTCAACCGTTATACCGATAAATACCGCATATCGGTTTAGCCTCTGATACTGGTATTTCGTGGTTGAACTGCCGGTACGGTATGGTTTAATGGACACTGAGTAGTACTTCTTCCTCCTCACTTCTTCAATGAATGATGGCGATCTCTCATGCATAGCTAGTTACCCCCAAACTCCTCCTTGTTTCTAGTTACGGGTTAAGCTTGGATCGATGTTCAAGAATCGACCCGTATGGCCAATGTTGCAAGTTCTAAGCGTTTTAGTGTTTAATTTTCGTTAGAAAACTAGAAATAAGAGAAAGAAAACCCAAAAGATGTGCTTTTGCTAATAAAAGTTGGCAACTTTAATAAAACCCAAAAGCTGGTTTAAGGTTAGAAGTTAGAACCCCTCCCTCTCACTAGATTTTCCAGATTACCACAGCTGCCTCTCTTGGAGATAAAAACGAAAAGTAAAAAAAAAAAAGAAGGGATCGTTTGGAAGTTGCGAATGTTAAATCGTTGTATTGTAATGAATCACTACAATATAAATACATGCATTGATACAATAGATGCATTTTGACAATACATTGTTTGGTGGTTGAGATTCTATTTTATATATTTATTTGCATAAAGTTACTTTATAGGGAAATGTCACATTTACCCTCACCTTTTAATATAAAACAAAAAATATTGGGGATATAAATGAAAAGAAAAAGTAGACACAAATCTAAAAGAAACAATCTCAACAATCTCAACTTTTAGTTGAGATTGTATAATGCATCATTTTTTGTGATTGTTGGTGGGACCTACACAAAACAGTACATGCATTGTTTTACAAATTGACACTTCCAAACATTGTATTGTGCATAATACATGTATTTAACAAACACAACTCTAACAATCACAACTTCCAAACAACTCCGAACTAACATAAAGGCAAAGAGAGAAGGAGAGTGATGAAAAGGAGAGGTGGAAGAGGAAAGTCAGAAATGTGGGAATGAATGACTGAATAAAGGGAGGAGAGAGAGAGAGAGAGATGAAGAGAAGTCAGAAATGATACATTCATAATGACTAGCTTTTGAGGTGGATGTGACAGAAGAGGCAAACATGTTACCTCTCTCTCTGCTATCAGACAAAAAGGAGAGAATTGGGAGTGAGTGATAAATTAATTACTACTCACTCTATCTTCTTCTTCATCTCATCTCATCTCATCCCTTTCCTTCTTCTTCTTCTTGTAATGTTCTGTTTACTGATGACAGTACAGCATAGCAACCCCATCACCATCAATTCATTTCCATAGCAAGAAAATGCACACAGCACACCCCCTGTTCTAATAACATTTAATGCTGTGGACCAGTGTTCCAGAATTTTCATGATATGTGCTTTATAAAATAGACTAATCGAGAGTGAAAACAAATATGTTTCATCCATTTATCGCTAGTTGGTCAATACCCCACAATTTGCTTATTAGATGCATACAAGTAGAAGGAAATAAGAACTCTTACGAACAAGAATCGAACCTATGATTAAGAGGAACCACCAAAGATGCAACCCTAGGTATAAGGCATGAACTCTTTTTTTTTATGAACTTATGAATAGGAATTGAAACTTTAATCAAGGCTAATGTCTTGAAATAATCTTTGTTCCCTGATTTATTTTTCTAGGTCTTGTTAAAGTGAAATTACTTGAGGTATTTGACTATATAGAAGAATCGAAAAATTATAAAGTGATATTCATATTTTAGACATTTGTGTCGCTCAAATCAAGATTTTGACAGTAATTAACAATTTTGTTGATGAAAATGTTAATAGAAGAATATATTTGATTATTTTTTCAAAGTACTTGATTGACCCAGCAAAGAATTAATGAGATCCATCATTTGGACTCCTGGACTTCATTCTCTAGGGGCCGACAAACTATGACCATTGTTTTAGCTGGGCTAGTCCACTACGAGGGGCTCAATAGATATCCAATGGGCTGCTTTCCGAACCCATATTGCTGGGCCGCCTTATTTTTGTCCGAAGTTATTGGGCCGGGCTATGCTGTCATCATTTCCTGAAAAAGAGGAGGCCATCGAAATGTGGAACTTTCCTTATCTTCACTCTTCCTCCCGTCTCCACAGGCGGGAGCTCTAACCAGGGGGAAAATGGCGGGTTCTGTAGGAGCAGCAGCAGAAGTCAAACTCTGTTTCTACTTCTCTATTCAGAGCTCCATTAACAGACCCATTAGCTCTCTTTCCTTTCCACCCTTTTCCAGGTCCCGCCTTAGCCTCGGCGCCTACACTAAGCCGCGCCTCGCCAGGATTCCAAGCAAGCGACGACAATATCTCCCTTCAGTCCTCTGCAAATGCATCTCCACCGCCGCGCCCAACACCAACTACGAGGTGAACTTCCCGAACCGCGATCCTCCCTCTAAGAAACCCCAGCCTTCCGATTCCAAAATTTCAGCTTCCTGTTTGGTTAATTTTGTCATGAATTTGGTCGGCAGTTCTCCGATGGCGCTTCGGATGTGGAATTGAGATTGCCGCTCGGGAACCAGGAAATTCCACGGCCTAGAGATGTCTGCGTGGATGCAGCTGGGACTTCGTTGAGGGTCACGGTTCGGCGATCTGGTTCCGTTGTTACGCTTATAGAGACTGATCAATTGTTCGATAGAGTGAAACCTTCTGATACGATATGGTTGGAGTGATGGCGTTCTTTCTGTTTCAGTATTCGGAATTGGGTGGTTTGAATTGAAGAATTGACAATTAGGGGTTGATCATTTTTGGTGGGCAGGTTTATAGATGAGGATGAGCTAGTGATAAACTTGAAGAAGCATGACCCGAAATTGAAATGGCCCGACATCATCGAATCGTGGGAGTCGCTGAGTTCAGCAGCTGTGCAGCTTCTGAGAGGAACATCGGTGTTCATTGTAGGGGATTCTACTGAAGTGAACAGAAGGGTGGCTCGAGAACTTGCTGTTGGTCTAGGGTATGTGGATCTTCATGCCCTCGGCTTTATTCATCTCTTCAGAAGGTTAGTTGCTACCTCGTTTTCCGAGTAATGTATTGAACTGCTGGACTCTACGAAATACTGGTTTCAGGTACACTCCATTGGACACTCAGGAGTTACTGGAGTCGGTTTCTAAGCAAGATGTTGATTCATGTAAGCATTTGTGTGGCGTACGTGTGTTCTACTGCCTTGCATCCATGTAGACATGTAGTCGAACAATCGGCAAAACTGTGTTGTGCTGTGAAGTCTATGTAGGCTTCACGCTGTTAAAACTTGCCAGCTAGGAGTTAGAAGCGTGGACCCTGAGCACTAGAGGTTGCTCTTTGGAACTAATCATATGACTTACCTATGCTCGTTCCAGGGATCGCTGATGAAGGTGTTGATTCTGTAGCTGAAGCAGAAAGTTCAGTGCTAGAAAGCCTAAGTAGGTACGTGAATTATCATCTGATGGTATCCCCCTTCATTCGCTGTCTGACTGTAAACTCAAAGTGGGGTTCTGGTGGGTTTGCAGCCACGCTCGAGCTGTGGTGTCAACACTAGGAGGAAAGCATGGAGCAGCTGCAAGAACCACTAACTGGCGGCATCTTCACGCAGGTTTCACTGTCTGGGTTTCAGAGACAGAAGCAATGGGTAAAGCTCAAGGAACTCTGCTTCTTTAAAAAGGAACAGATTCTGGAATAGACAATGAACCAGGAAAGAAACTGATTCCAGCTAGTAAAATGGAAACGCAGATCAGGATACAGCTAAGGAGGAGGCTATAAGGCATGTGCAAGATCGCAGCACCGGCTACACAAACGCGGATGTGGTGGTGAAGCTCCAAGGATGGGATCCGGATCACGCAAAGAGTGTAGCCCAGGCATCCTTGAGCGCCCTCAAACGTCTAATTTTGGCCGACAAGGAACTTCCAGGTACGCTGTCCAAGACTAAAGATACTTGTTCTGTCATTGTTTTTTGGGGTTCATTCATTCGGCAATCTTGAACAGTAGGAAGTAACGTTATCATTCTGCCTTCATTTTTCTTTTGAAGGGAAGAAGAGCCTGTACATAAGGTTGGGATGTCGAGGAGATTGGCCAGACATCAAGCCTCCTGGTTGGGATCCATCCAATAATACTGAAGTAGCCTTGTAGACAATCGTCAGCTTGTAGAATCGAAATTCTGCTCGCTCACTGTCAGCAAAATCTGTTATTTAGACATTTCTGATTTCTTCAAGTCTATTAAGCGTCGTTGATTTAATACCGCGGCAAATAGGTGTACATGCATCTCACCGCCGCAAGGATTTGGGTACCATATAGAGCCTAGTGCCCTGGTATCACTGAGCATGATCATTTCTGAAGTTCGCATAGGCAAGAAAAATATACCAGTAGTGATCATGCGAAGGCAACCCAGATCAACTAAAACTGCAATCCTAAGAAATAAGCATCCCAAAATACCAACTTGTTTCAGAATCAAATCTAAAACAATATCACGATAACATCGACACATTGCAAGACTACCAGGGACCATTTCGACCAAGTATTTGAAGTTCGAACTTTTTACCAAACCGAAGAAATACTACCAACCATACAGCAGAAAGAGAGCATATATGCATTCCCCTGGGAGCGAGCTTAAGATTGCTGACGCCACTACCACAACCACTTCTGGCTTCTGCGACTTTCACCTAGTTGCTTCGAACTTCTGGCTTGGACACCACCTGCAAGACTCACCAGCCTATTGTTACTACGATGGAATTGCAGACTTGACATGAACAAAAGCACAATGTGACATGCCGGCAAGCAACAAGTCGAGCTTCACATCACAATCCAAAAAAATAAAAATGACAAGAAGAAATTGTGTGTTTAAAGCCTCAAGGATCGATAAGTCCCTTAAGGGCACCACATCACCATATAAGCTCCCAATTAAGAAAAGGACAACTAGAAGAGACTACAAAATCATAACACAATTTTTGTCCATCACAACTCAAATTAAAATACGCCAGTAAAATGTCTGCTAATCCCAAAAGAACGACAAACAGAGATTATAAACCATATGAAGTCATACCTGACTTCGGTTCAGGTTCATTATTGTGGTCTTTAGCAAAGTGTCCCCGACAATTAGTCTCAACTGTCTAACGAAGTCTTCCCTGCTCGTCCTTTTCGCCTGATAACACAGCAGCTTTAGTGATGGGGAAAACAGTTCAACAAAAGAAACAAAATGCAGAAAAGATTATGACCTACCCGGAATTCTTCATAATGACTAATAACAAGTTCCATGTCCCTCCTAGCAATTTTAGTAGAAACAGCAGCAAAGAGCTTAGGGAAAGGCATCCAAGGAGAACTATGAGTCCTTCCATTGCTTGAACCCAGACTATTTGCTTGTCCAATAGATGCCCCAGAGTCAGAAAGCGGTCTACTTTCACTGACCTGTGGCAATAAAGGACAGAGGGTGTATCTCAGCACTTGCTAATCATTCATGTACGACATAATTTGCCCAACAATACAAAAGAGAATTGTATAATATGAAGAACGATTATTACCACCATTCCAGAAACTGTAAATGAATCACCTATCCAATTGTTAGCCTGAGCTCACCTCATCAGATGCAGGGGCCAAATTAAGATCCACAGCAGGGGACTGTACAGGTAAATTAAGATCCACATGATGAGACTTCATCAGGATACTCCCCTGAACTGTGTTTGTAGCACTGGTGATACCTGAAGCAGCACACTTACTCTCACTCCCATTCGCAAGACCTATAGAAGATACACAAAAAATGCTAACTCTCAAGTACAAAAAGATTATCAAAGGGAAATTTCTTTGTTATCTGAGCATCTGAGAAGACACCACCCAGATACTCTTGAAGATTTTGATCTCAGGTGTAATAAAGCACAACCAAGAGTTGTCCACGCATCATGCAACAGAATCTGCCTTCTATACCACGGACACCAAGTTCTCGGCATTCCAGAACAGTGCACAGTGGTCTTTGATGATTCCCATTTCAGCTCATAGGCCAAGAAGGATCCACAATGATCAATGATGGATCGGCAAAAAATTAATGAGACGTCAACTCAAGAGTGCAAAAGCAGCTGGTACCACCACACACACGAAAAACATGTAGAAAGAAGTATATAAGGGAAAAAGGAAATAGGGCATCACCTTCACCACTGGAAGAGACCTTGAAACTAACAACATATTCCGGGAAAATGTGGGTGTTAACATTCATATTCCAAACTACATACTGTCTTGGATTTTGAAGATCGTCCACTCCATTATCAAAGACCTCACTACTGGGATGGAACTGCCGAGTCCCATGCTGAAGAGGCTCCATATTTCCCATTATCACACGACAAAATACAATATGCCGAGTGCCATTTTCGTCAACATCACAATCACTGGCACTGTAGGGGAATAAAAAGGAACAATCCTAAGAAGCATAAATGACAATAATGACGATGATAAAAAAAAATCTTACCAATTTGCATAAAAAAATATCAAACAACAAAACCGACTCCATAATTCAACCAACCAATTCAAAAGGACAAAACACAACTAACAAAAACATTAAGTAAGATATCTAACTGGGTATGCTCCATAAACACCACTAACAAAAGAACTTCAATGCACAGCAATGGATGGAAAGAGTACAAGTCCATAAACCACCGTTGGATATATTAACCACGCCATGAGTAGTAATATGACTCCATCTGAGTAATGTTTCTTTCTACTTCTTCTATTTCAAATATTATTACTAGATTAATCAGTGTGTTAATTTATCATTAGATACAGGCTAGCATTCATTTACAAAAACAGTAAGCACATATACAGATTGGTTTGCATATCTCCAAATCAAATAAAATTTTCAAACCTGATGTGGCAGTGATCTGCAGCAGATAGATGAATGCCAACTGCATATCTGAACTTTGTGGCAGAAGGTCGGCAATGACCAAGTCCGTATGTCATAAGCATAGGCAATGCTGCCTTGGAAGAAGCAAGCCAAGCATATCGAACATTTGCATCACCACGGCACTTCCCTGTGAGCTCCATTTGTTTCTCAAAAATTGCTAACCGGTCTTGTAAAAAAGTGCTCGAGCAGGGTAAAACGTTAAGCACCTCAGCTTCTTGAAAACATTTCATGCCTCCAATAAAAATCTTCTGCATAGTATCTGAATCAAATTTCACATCAACAGATGGAGTTTTGTAAACAGATGGTGGTTTAATTAGTTGGTTTTCCTGGACAGCTTCAACAGACTTCCGGTTGCAACTATCTTCAACTTCAACAACGTAATGATTGCTCCCAGGTTTGGGAGCAACTTGGATGTGCTTCACAAGAGCATTTGATTCCCCGCTACACTCCAACTTAGTCTGCTGGTCCACTCCATTTATATCAATCTCAAGTTGCAGCTTAATCTCATGAGGCCCATACTGATCTTTTCCACAATCCTCACTACTTAATTCGTCATCATCGGCATATATTTCCGGAAAGAAGCAGGCACCAGCTTCATCAATCCAAGCAATTGGTAGTTGAGAGCCTGTCTTCAAATCAAGTTGACACATATGCAAGAAATCTAGCATATAATGGCGCCCCTCCAACTCAACTTCAACAACAGCCTTCTTTATCTGAAGATCCTTTCTTACCAAGGCAACAAGATCTTCTGAGAAGTCGGTCCATTCACCATTCTGAAAATACATAAGACGTGCCGGCACTCCAGTCCTCGAAAAATTTGAATAACGCTGGAGTATGGATTTCTTGCAAGGTAAGCCACAGCTCGCAGGCTTGTCCAAGCAATCACTAACTCTCCTTCGTTTTCCCAGCATAGGACAGTCAGCCAACACTGTTTGGGAAGCTCTGGCGAAATTAGCTGCACAGCGGGATGCACGCTTTCTCTTTAAGCCGAGCATAACCTTGCTTCTTCTATCCAATACCTTTCCGAACTTCGTTTCCATGTCTAGCTACTAAATCTATCACTAATAAAACCCTGAAGTACAAAAGTTTCGATTTACAGTAAAGCAACAACTCTGTCCCCCAACCACCAGTTTGAAAGTCAGGATGCAATCAGAGCCATTTGGGGAAACCTGCACAGTATTTGAAATATAAATGCAAGTGGGGGACACAGATTCACAACATATGGAAAAACACAAAACCAAAATATGAAACATGCACATTTAGGTAAGCTGTAACTTATTGTCCACGGGCAGTAGATAACATTGATCCAGAATATATGAAAAATGCAACAAGGAAAAAATAAACCAACCGAAGATGCAGTGTTCATAAATGCACGCTCTAAAGAATCCTTTACCGCCATTAACAAATAAAAACCCAAGGGCAAGGAAAACCAAATTTCTGCCACTTCATGAAAAACTAGCTTTTGGTGCAGTACATAAGGACGACAGTATAGCTGAGAGGACATAAACGCACATTCTCAAACGACAGCAAGAGTATATCAGCACACTAAAAAACAACATCAAGCTTTCCGGTTATGATATCACCAAAGGGACAACTTTGTTAGTAGCAGCTTCGTTACCATGAAGAGGATAAAGCAACCACCAAGCCAACTAAATTCTAACATGATAACTAGCTATAGAAAAACAGTAAAGTACAAAGCAGAAACAGAGAACAACAAGGACAACTCCTAACCAAAATACTAACTTCGCAGCAAAGACTTAGCCACCAATTAGAAACTCAAAGTCAGTACACACCTGATAATCAGGAAAATACTTGCATCAAAAGACAACAATGAATTCAAAATACCATAATTCACAAGAACAAGGACAAAGAAAGATTTTTTATATATAGCAGAGAACAGACCTAACACTGCAACTAAAGCTGATCATGTACATGTCCATCCTCTGCTAATATGAACAATCAACACTTTCTCTGGAAGTAAGCCAACTCCCTTATTTATCTCACAAACCTAGAGTTAGCTCTGCACACCTGCAAGACCAACAACCATCATCAAACCATGATCAGAAGGAAGGAAGACCCAATCACCAAGGCAGAATCAACCAGAGTCCATCCACAGATTGAGTCGTCAAATTATCCCGTTATGAGCAAGAAAAAGCACCAGATCTCAACTCTACGAACCACAAAGTCCAATTTGTCGCTAAAACAAAATCAATACGCGACGACTTCAGAATCGAAAGCCAAAGTCAAACCAGACGAAAAGAAGGAGGAAAAAACCACGAAAACTCGTGAAAACCAGAACCGCCAATCCAATTCGGACTCAACACGCATCAATCAAAGGAAATTCCCACGAAACCGAACCCGATCTACGACTTACAGCCACCAGAATCAGCAACAGACGGCGATAACGCTATACAGGAACAAAAACACATTCCAACGGCCACGAACCCACTTACCGTCGATGATACATCATATGATCCGGGCCGATAAGGGGATGGTGGAGGATCGATTTGGACGGACGAGGAGTGCTTCTTCTGCTCCGCCGACGTTCCGATTAGGCGATAAAAACCCTAATATTAAAAGGCGGAGAGAGAGGGAGAGGTGGAGGACGGAACAGTATGAAGCGGAGAGGGTATAGGGGATGAAACGACGCCGCTTGTCCGCTTCTAAGAAGAGAGAGGCGGTAATATAAAAAAAAAAGAAAGATAAAGAGGAAGATTCCGACTCCGTTGACGGTAGCGGAAATTTAAGTCGGCGGAAACCTCCCTGGTGATGGATACGCTGCTCTGCTCTCTTCTCTCTCTTCCTCTCTCTTTCGCTTGATTTTTTTTCTCTCTCTCAATTTCTATTTTAATTAATTTTTGCTTGGGCGGAAAGCAAGGAAATGCTTAAACTGAGAAAAATAAATACCCCTGCTGATTACTTGTGGGCGGGGTTTGCTAGTGTCACGGCTGGGTGACAGTCGGTGGGCCTTTCTTTTCTTTGGGCTTGGGTTTGTGGGTTTTTTTTTTCTTTTACCCAGTAGGCCGGTACGAGGAGAGGCCGCGAGATCGGAGATGCTATTGGCGGATTTATTAAAGTCTGGAAATTTAATTGGGTTTGTGGTGGATAGTTGTGTTATTTTGGTAACTCCTTTACGGTCAACAGGTCAAGTTACTAAAAGTGTATTTTAGTAATTATAAGATAGTACCGAGTAATGTATCCTAGCTCTAATCATTTCTACATCTATTGACATGTTTTGCTAGTTTCTATGGAACTTATACATCTCAGCTCATGTTCGCTCTCCAAAAATGCTTGAATCGAGTTTGAAAAGGATTTTGTAGAAGTACGTTCGTGTTAGTCTATGACATATCATCAACATATAATTTAGGTTTTGTCTTAACCAACTCAACTCGTGCCTATGGGCTATAGCTATGCCAATTTTGACTTGACTTAATTTATTTTTACCCACCTCCCTCTTTTCACATATATTATGCAACAACCAACAAGTATGAATAATATTTATAGATGATACGTTATCGATTCCTACCGGGTTTTTTGTTGTACCCCCGAACACAATGATAACAACTACTTAAAATAAAATAAAAAAAGGAAAACATTCACAACTATCTTCTCAACCTAATCCACTACTAATGGAATCGAGCTAAACACAAGACTTCTTCCATATCTATCTGCTTCTCCATATACTACGAATATATTGTATCAAGTGTAGATAGTCTGTGCCTTACCAGTTGCCACCACCACTAGCTCACACTCCCACACATAAAATTTCGCAATGGCACCCATCCTCTCCCATGTGCACCCATTTCCTATTTCCGTAAAGAGATAATTGTACTTGCAAGACTTGGACTTAAAACCTTTGTGCTTAATTGGTAGAGTTGTCACTACTCACTAGTCAGTAGTCACTACTATGTTTGGAAGTATTCACGCTTTTCAAATAAGTTGAATTTGTATTATATAATATTAAAAGTACACATTTAGTTTGTATTATAAAAATATATGTAAAAAGAGTTAAATACAAATTAAATTTATATTATATCGTTAAAAGTACAAATTTAATTTGTAACAAAAAAAATATAATTACAAATTGCATTTATATCTTAAAACATGTTTAGTTTGTAACTTTGTGTAAAACTCGCGTACAACTAAAATTAGTAGGGTTATTGGAACTTCTGACTACACTGTTGGGATAAGTTTAAACATTTTTCTGTCTTATTGAACAAAACGACCCTTCAAATTTGTTATGGCCCCCTATGCACCTGTTGGGAATGTGTCCGTGTGAATAAGCGAAGCGACACAACAAGATAGGACTGCCATGTCCGCCGCAAGTCTCTTGTCAATCTGAAACCAACTGGGACACTTGACGATGTCGGAATGGCCCTTGAGACTATCTTAGCACCTATTATAATATTATTATATTACTATCATGGCTTCATAGGATCAAGCCTTGACAAGTTTGACAAGTAACACTTGGTAAACCAAAGTTAATTTGATAAATCACAAGAGAAACTGTAGGATATGATATGATTATCTCAACTAGGTTAAACAACCAATGAACAATCCAGTCTTGAGTTCCTCTAATTCCTGTTTCAGCAATTAAAATTACATTGAACCCGCTTGTAGCATACACGATTGAATTACCACAATACACATCCACCAGCTATGTAAAATCCATCGAATTGCAAACTAACACAGTGCCGGAAGACAATTGCTCTTAAATACACCAAGGAGGATATTCAAGTCAGATTCCTTTACCCTATACTTAGTTCCCTCCAGAAAGATTTGCAGAATCATAAGACAGGGTTAGATCGTAATGCTCTAACACAAGGGAGGCGATAATGACCAACAACTTGCACCCAATTGCAGCAACAACGCGTACGAGCTCTCAAGCAACGACCCACACGATATTCCCAACCAGGAAGGGACAAGCAGCTTGACTCGAACGTGGTGAGTGTCGAGTCCCCCGCCACAAGGATCAGAGACATGAGGGAGACAGGAGGGAGAATGATCAGGCTTGGCAGAGGAGAAGGGTCCACCAACAATTACAAGTACTTGAGCATGCCACGGCCTTCAACACTGAGCTTTGAAGCTTGTAAACTCTTCTTCTTTGGTGCCTTCAGCTGCTGCAACTTCTTATTCATCTGCGGTTTGCCAGAAAGTATTGGAGCTTATAGATTTGTCATTTTTACATGAGACAATGGTTCATGGAAAAATAGATCCTTCCATGAAAGTTATCACGCAACCTCTTTGTTTGGAGAGAAAATCAAATTGGGATTGAAAGTTTGAATACCACAAATGGAAAACAAACCTTCATTCTCCGCTGATCTTGTACAGCTTGTTTAGCACGTGCTCTAATTTCTTCAGGATCTATCTTCGACTGTGGACGGACCAAGAAATCCAACGCTGTTGCTTCTGGCCTGGTAGTGAGCTGTTGTTGCCTGGATGATGATGATGATGGCTGGCCAGACTTCCTTCCCCTAAATTAGGTTATAAAACGAACCGTAAATCATGAGCAAAAAAGGATGCAAATTGCAAAGTGTATGGTATGATTTTCGTGGTGACAAATTACCGTGCCATGTCCAAATCAAGATCACCATCTCTAGATTCCATCCCAACAGAATTGCTCGCAGGTCTGCCAAAATAGGAAATCAAGAATACAAAATGGTAATGTGTCTGAACAAGCCATTTGTAAAAAAAACCACAAACTCAACAGGCATGTGACAAGCAATACCTTCTTGGTGGTGGCCTTCTGTAAGCACGTTCATCTTCAGCACCTCTCATGTCCTCAAACCTCGTGCTCTTATTGAATATTGGTCGACTCTGATTTAATCATTTCAAAAGAAACAGAGAGGTCAGGTGATTAGTACCCAAGGAGTGTTTTCTGATTCTCCAACAATAGGGAAACAGCAGAGTTTAAGTTGCTATTCCTTAACATGTATAAGCAGAATTAAAGAATCAGCAGAAGGCATATTAAGGGTAGAGATTAAGCATATAAATATAACATACCCATTTATCAACCAGATCCTTGGCCAGTTTTCTGTTGGAAGTGGTTTCCTCGTCAGATTTTGATAAAAACATTATAACCTGCCAATACTGAACTCATTCAGTTGAAATTGTATTTTTCAACCTAAAAAATAAACAGGAGGATGTCCAACCTTTCCAAGTCCACTCTTCTTTAATTGCTCCCTTCTATCATACTGCTCCAGATCAATAGGAAGCTGCTTGAAAAGACATTTTAGGATCCACGTACTGATCATTCAAATACATGGGCACTAGCACAACATAATAGGGAAAAGCTCTCACATACATCAGTTAGAATTCTCAGAACTGCCGCACGTATGTTTATGTTGGGCAAGCTTCCATCAGGAAGGGGTTCGAGCCAAGTTTTCAGCAGGGTCAGAACTCCATGATCTATGAATTCTTGCTGAAGCTGCTTCCTGCACGAGTGTACCCGATAATAAACAAGATGGTTAAACCAAAAGCTCTGATGAGAGGATAAATCACAGAAAGGACATGCCAACTTACTTTGAGAGAACATCAGTAAGAAGAGGCAACTTCTTGAGTTTGTTAATAGCAGGTTTTCCCCTCTCATTTAGACTGGCATCTTCTTCCGCAGTGACTTCAAGCTCAGCCATCACATTCTCCACTAACAATGCAATCTCTGCAGGGCTTCTCTCATTCTTCTTCCGTTTCTTGCCAATCTTAAAAAGCTGGTTTACTTCATCATCCTCGTCACCCTCCTCTGCCTGGCAAGATCAAGCACAATATATAAAATGGAATCAATAGTGGGAAAAATTCAACAAAGTTAAAGTCCTCCCAATCAACATTAACACAATGACAGCCCATGAAGAGTGTCAGTTAAAATAGTCCAAGTTACTCGTCTTGAGTGCAAAGCTCGTTTAAGAAAATAAGATGACCTGAGGAACATCACCGAGAGAGCGCTGTTCATTGTCACTTCCATACCGATCAGCTGGGTCTACTCCAGTATCATCAATGAAGTTATCATCATCCATAGTTCTCAAGCCTTCTTTATCATCCTACACACATAATAGCAATCTGCTCAGACTTTTGACAACAAGCAAACAACCATACTACATAGGGCCGATCCAACTCCTAGTACAGAAAGATTCGTCACCAGGGGTACAGATTGTTAAAGCAAATCTGAGACCAAGTGTTACGACAGACAGATTCACTTTCAGAGTAGAAGCTTCAAAATTAAAGATAACATCCAAAGATAAACTGTGCAACATCTTGCAAGTGATCATACATACTCATGAGTGAAAACTGAAAACAATTACCTTGCCTAGCACTTCCACCAACAACTAAGAGAAACTACTTCTCTTTCAATAAAGCAGTGACGTTATCACTAAATGCATAAGAAAGGCATAGCTCAGAGTAACTTGGGAATCAACAAGTGTAAACAATTAAGGTGAATACACCAATGACTTATACAGTTGGTGTCAAAATGCCAGAAAATCCACCAAGAAGCCGCATCACAAAGTCTCCAACTTTGCGCTTTAGCCAAAAGTATAGACGAGCACCAAATTCACCCGATCTCTAAGCCAAAAGTGAGCTTTTCATGTAGATATATAAAAAGGGAGTAAGTAAGATAAGAACCTCGGAATCGCCACCAGCAATGGTGTCCCACATTTCCTTGACCTCACCATCATCCTTCCCAGCAACTAACCTCCCAGGGTAAGCTCCCCTCTTCGGCATCCCTCCTCCAGATTTAGAACTACTCCCAAACTTCTTATCCCCTTTGGAGAACAGCCTTTTCCTATCCTTCCCAGAGCTCCCGATCCCCTCCTTTCCCAATCTCCTCCTCTTCTTCCCTTCAGCCGATCCCTCCCTATCCCTTGAATATTCCCTCGCATCGTACCCTTGATCGTCATCGTCCTCGTCAACCAGCTCCGGCGGAGCTGCATAACTGTCCCTACCGCCGTCGCTCTTCTTCACCAGCCTCTTCCTCGGCTTCGAAGATTTGTCCGCGTCGTAGACTGGAGTTCTGGAACCGTCGTCGTCGATAAAGTCGTCATGAACTCCAGGGGATTGACCGCCGTCCGATGCCATATCGTCGTAATCCATCAAAGGCTCTCCGTCCTCGTCTCGGTAACTGAGAAGAACGGCAACCGTAGAATCACAACATCGAATTGAAAAATCAGAACCCTACCGAACTGAATTTTCTTCCTAGACGGAGATAAAGGATGAAATAAACAATAAAAGCCATGAACAACAAAGCAGAGAGCTGGAGTTGCATAGCACTTACGGATCGTCCTCGAACGCCATGGAGTTGATCGATGGGTATGATCGTAGGGAATTCAAGCGAGCTAAAGGAAGAAGATGAAGAGAAGAGGAGGTAAAAGAACAACAGCAAATTGCTTTTCCCTTGTGGGAATTGGAATATTTGGTTTTGTTGACTATAAATTGGGCGGGTCGGGCTAGCAGGCCCGTTAGCCTTCTACAATGTGGCGCCAGCCCAAAGCCCGGCTTATATTAAAAAATGTCCCACGCGTAAAAAGGAGTAGTTTGATGAAGAATTTGGAATACAAAAACCTAGGGGTTGTTTGGATTGGGAAATGTAGACAAGGATTTTCCACAATCTCTTGTCATAAAGAATTTTGTCACAATTTTTCGTTTGGATGGGAAAATAAAATTGAAAAATTTGACCGTTTAGAAATTTCAAAAATCATAGTATTAGAGATTTTAAAACCCCAGATTTTTTGAAATCTCCATAAATTTTCCCCAACCTTTCCAATTTATCCCTCCTTATTTTTTTGGTATTCCTTTCTTGCCCTCGCCCTTTATTCACCGACTCGCCATTTCCAATCTCTCTTACCCATTTTTATCTCCTTCTTCACTCCCGATATGAGAAACCATCTCTATCTCCTTCTTCATTTTTCTCGCATCGTTGGTGGCTGTTGCGGGGTTCTACTAGCTTCGATATACAGCGACAAACCATGGCCCCCTCTGTTTATCGTTCTCCCTCCCTTTGTTTCTCTATGCAACAAACCATGGCCCAACTGAGAATCGAAGCAGAAACGCCATTCTCTTCCTTTTTTCTAGTTAGAAAGAATCGAGAAGGCAAGCGAGAGTACGGATAATACCATCCCTCTATATTCTCGACCATTCTCCTCCTCCTTTGTCTATAAAGATAGGGACATAAATAAAAGAAATAGAGTGTAAGGTTTCCCCTTTTCAATCTCTTCAAATGGGTTGCTTCTCAACGTGTTTTGGTTCCTCCAAAAATCGCAGAAGGAGATACAGAAAGCAACAGCACAAACCGCAAAACCACGCTCAACCTCCGTATCAGGTTAGATAACATCCTAGTCATGTGAAAGAAACAGCCGCCGGTCACATCCAATGCTCCTGTCAAGGATTCCAGGAGGACGCAGAAGAGAGGGATTAAAAGGGTCTGCAAAGAAGAGAGTGAACATGACAAAATGGTAATTTTAGGTTTGCCACAAAAATTTAAATTGCTCATTGGACAATTTTGGATTATTTATCAAATAAGTAATTCGATTCAATTTCCTTATTAAATTGCTTGGATTTTTAAGTGCGAAATTTGGGTACAAATCCCTTACAAATTCTCTTCGTCCCATTTTCTCCCATTCCTTCCTTCTTCTGTTTTCTTCGCTTTAGCCGCTAAAAGGAAGCATCTCAGAGAACGAGGATAAGGACAAACAAGTTAAGAAGAAGAAGAAGTTTGGTCAAATCATAAAATTTGGGTTGGAGCACATTTTTTCACCAATCCTCCCAAATAGGCGAAGTTTACTAATGGGTTGGAGTTGCTCTAAAGCATTCGCTACACATATACAGCTTTGCATAGTGTTTGTTGTCAAGAACCAGTTGATCCCAATAACTCGAGTTGTTGGGAGAGGTTCAATCGTGGATCATATACCACAATACTAACACGCCCCCCTCAAACGAAAGCCACTCACAAGGCTTGAAGTTTGCACAGGTCTGAAGATAAGAATACCATGTGCTTAACAAATGGGGGTCACTGGGAATCGAACACAAGACCTCTCGGTCACAGAAGGCTCTGATACCATGTCAAGAACCAGTTGCTCCCAATAACTCGAGTTGTTGGGAGAAGGTTATGCTGGATCTTATACCACTCTCTAACACGCCCCCTCAAACGAAAGCCAACCCACGGGCTTGAAGTTTGCACAGGCCCACCATACCATGTGCTTGAAAGACAGCAGTTAATATTGGGGGTCGTGGAGATTCGAACACATGACCTTTCGGTTCTAGGCTCTGATACCATGTCAAGAACCAGTTGATCCCAATAACTCGAGTTGTTGGGAGATGTTCAATCGTGGATCATATACCACAATACTAACATTTGTTAGTTTGTATGTGAGCCTTCACTTCCAATTCAATATTAGTTAACAAACCTATCAAAATAGTATTAATTTACTCGCGTTTAAATAAGTCGCCTACTGCCAGAACGCTATCCAGAAAATGGTGGGTGAGGAAGACTCGAGAATGGAGGTTGGTGTTGTTGCGAAGGAGGTGAAGGATCGGGCCGAGTCCCTGGGCCAGATACGATGGCGTTTTACAAAGAGAGAAGGAAATGAACCGGCCAATCAGATGGCCCACTCAAGCTGTAATTGGGACTCGTCGGAATCTTGGGCTCTTAGGCCTCCTATGTTTCTCCTTTCTCACTTGGAGAAGGACCTTCTGATTACTTAATATCACATACAGGTTTCTGTCAAAAAAAAAAAAAAAAAAAAAGTCGCCTTCATGTTAGACATTTCAAAAAATTGAAGGACTATTAAGCTTTTCTCTAATGAGAATTATTCAAACCAATTACCTTCATGTTAATCAGTTTGGCTAAAAAATTAAGAGAATTATTAAGTTTAGATTGAATTGAGGGCGCAATTTTTTATTGTACATGTTAAATAATGAGGTGTAAATATAGATTATGATTTTATAGATAAAATAGTATGATCAAATCCAAGAGATTAACAAGTTTAGTCATAAAATTTGAAAGGGATGGCAATGGGTCGGGTCGGGGACGGATAGTGCATATCCGTTACCCTGTCCAAAATAGTTCGGGTTTTACCCATACCCATACCCACGTGTGAAACAGGTAGAAAATTAAAACCATGCCCATACCCGTTCGGGTTTCGGGTATCCGCGGTTATCCATGGGTAATGATTTTTCTTCATAACTATAACCGATATGTAAACATTCACACGTATTCTCACATTACGTAAGAAGAAAAGTACGACAATAATTCACTAGAATGAAGAAAATTAATTAAAACAACACAATTTCATGAAAATATTATATTTATATGCTAAATATAAAATATGTTAGAGAAAAAATGATTATTTCTAGACATAATACATATGCATGTGTATAATCGGGTGGGTTCGGGTTGGATAGTGAGAAACCCATACCCACCCATTACCCGCAATATTTGAGTTCGGATTTTACCCATACCCACTAAATGTCCTTCGGGTTCGGGTTCTATCCTACCCGATTAGGTCGGATTCGGGCGAATATCCACGGTTACGGATATTTTTGCCATCCTAAATTTGATAAGTAATTTAACAAATTAATTTGATCTAAACACCGGAAAATATCCGTAAATGAGAGCCGTGGCGAATCACTCGACTGCCACGTATACCCGAGCGGACTTTTATTCAACGACGGCCGGCTCTCGACTCGAGTAGCGATAACCACTTAAAATAGGGAGGGGGACAAGTGAGCGAATGAAACAAACGAGGGAAAGTTGTTTATGCAGACCATGAGCGAGGTGTTGGTGGCGATGCCGGCCAACGGCGGCGGCCGCGTCTCCGGAAGAAATCCGGAGCTCAACCGCCAGTTCCATACTTCACTATCCAGATGCTCTTCTTCCTTTGGATTCCCCAACCTACTGCCGCAGCGGAACATTGGAAGGAAGCTCCTCTATTCAAGCGGCGGCGGCGGCGGCGGCGTTGGTTTGGCCCCGCGAGCGTCAGGGAATCCAGGCGAGTACTATCCTTCTGCTCCAATTCCTCCACTGCAATTCGAATCTCCGGTGGGCCAGTTACTGGCGCAGATTCTGCAGTCGCATCCGCATTTGTTGCCCGCTGCAATCGATCAGCAGCTCGAGAATCTTCAGACCGACAGAGAGGCTCAGGGGGAAGATGCTCCTTCTGCTCAGGATCTACTTTACAAGTGAGTAGTAGTATTCTCTCCTTGCCGTTTCTTGCTTTTTCTTTGTTCTTGGATTGGTTGGCAGGTGTTTAAAGTATGGAACATTTCTGTAGATTGCTGAATCTATTGCATTGCTGTTAAACTTAGCTGAGCTGATTTACTGAAACCGGTTTGATTGTTTAGGATGGAAGGAGTTGAAATCTTTTGTTTAAGCTAGAACGTGGAATGGTTCTCATCAGAGAGAAAAACTGGAATATGCTCTTACACCACGAAAGCTAAAATGTTTGCTTGCATTTGATGGAAACCATAGGGCATAGGCAGGTGGTTAGAACTTGGGATAGATTAGTTGTGAGCAGATATTCCTCCTACGAATCATTCTGGTTATGATTGAGCTCTCCTGGCTTCTTCGCTGTCTTTTGTGTTTTCGTTTGAAGATCTAGGCAGGTGACTGAATGGGGATACTTCTAGTGAAATGTTTGGTTCCATACGGTTCAAGTGACAAGTGTTGGTTTCTGAGCTTAGTTCACCAACTTCATGAATGCAGGAATCTCATGGTCACATTTGCATTTGTTACAGATCTGAGGTTAGGATTGGTGACTGGAAGCTAGTCTTCGATGTTTATTTACCTCAAGTTTAGAAGAGTAGTCTGCATTTTGCATCGATTAGGAAATCTAATTAGCCAGATATTTGATTACCTGATTAGCATATAAGTCTGTTGGATCTTGAAGAGCCTAGCTAGGTCCTCCAAATCCCATATAACTCGTAGCTTTCCTTCTGCCAGTTGTCTCCCGCTAAAACTGCCCTTTTAAGTAAGAGGCTTTATAATTCTTCCTAACTAACTTAGGAGTTTTTACCTTGTTAAAAGAACCGGATCAACGGCCGGGCCAGTAGAACCGCCAAACCAGTTACGATAGCGGTCCGGTTCATTGTTTGAACGGTTATTGATGGACCAAACGGTTTTTCACGGTTCAACATAAAAGCAGATGAACCGGCACGGTTTAACTGGTCCACTGGTTCACTATTTTAACAAAAAAGAATATTTTAACATAAACTAAGACCATCAAATCATAATTATTAATTTTATATATGCTTCCTCAACCTTATTGTCGATTTTACATTGTCTACTACCAACTAGAACCGTAATTTTTAATTTGCATTAAAAAATGTGGTTTCTTTTGTGAGATGGTTGGAATGATTTATTAGATATTTTCGTGATGATATGAATTTGAACTTGTTTATGGTCAATGATAATTTCATTCTTAAATTAGTGTAATATACAAGACTTATATGTTATATATCATTAACGGTTTTATCAATGGTTCACCAACGATTTTGTAATGGTTAACCGGTGAACGCTAAACCACTAACTTTTCCGGTTCAACCTCCGGTCTGGTTCTGATTATGAGTTTTCTGGTGCTTTCCTCCATGATAATACCTTCGTCATAATTTTTATACTTGTTATCTTTAAAATGTACAATGTGAACCATATTTAGGAACTCCAACGTGCAACAATGCTGTATTATGCCTGGCAGGGGTTCTGGTTTTTATCCTCTTTAGACAGTTTAAATTGCTGAATGGAAACTAGATTTGGCTTACCGTGCTTGTGCGTGCAATGTCCTTGCCGAGAAAAGCGATGACCACTAAAAGCCCACTCCCTATCCAATGCCTTATGAGAAGTTTCCGTATCTTTTGGTAGTTCCATATGGTGCAGATACTAAGGCTAACTATCTGGAACATGCACATAAGAGAGAGCAGTTTACTGACACTTATTATTGCTCTACTTGAGATTTGAACTCTTGTTGGTAAAGCTTATTTATGGCTCCTTTGAACGTTTAGGAGGATTGCTGAGGTTCGAGAGAATGAAAGGCGTAAGGCACTGGAAGAGATCATCTACTCTTTGATTGTTCAAAAGTTTCTCGACAAAGGCATCACAATGATACCAAAGATAACACCCACCTCGGATCCCGCTGGACGAGTGGACTTCTGGCCGAACCAGGAGCAGAAGCTGGAGTCTGTTCACTCTGCTGAAGCCTTCGAAATGATACAAAGCCACCTATCTCTCGTCTTAGGAGACCGCTCGGTGGGCCCTATCGATACCATCATCCAGATCAGCAAAATCAAACTAGGCAAGCTATACGCAGCTTCAATAATGTACGGATACTTCCTGAGAAGAGTTGATGAGAGGTTCCAGCTCGAGAGAACCATGAACACCCTTCCCCAAGGTTACGATGAGAACCGGGCTAGATACGAGGAACTCAGATCCTCGACCAAGGGGCTGTGGGACCCAGACTCCTTAATAGAAATGATGCCGGATGATGGTGGTGATAACGTTGATGATGGAACGTCATACAGACTGAGGTCGTATGTTATGTACTTGGATGCGGAGACCCTTCAGAGATACGCGACCATGAGATCTAAAGAAGCGGTTTCTTTGATCGAGAAGCAGACCCAGGCACTGTTTGGTAGGCCGGACATAAGGATAGCGGAGGATGGTTCGCTAGACACGAGCAATGATGAAGTGGCGTCGCTGACATTCTCCGGGTTGACAATGCTGGTGTTGGAAGCAGTAGCATTCGGGTCTTTCTTATGGGATGCTGAGAGCTATGTTGAGTCCAAGTACCAGTTCTTGAATGGCTGAGAGTTCTATTCTTTTCATATCTGGATTTGTTATGATAGCTTTGTAGGTTGTACAAAACAGGAAATTTGTTTTACATTGTAAAACGAGGGATGTTGTATACTTGTATTCTTGTTTGGGGATATGAAAGAACTGATAGCAGCTGAAGAGGTTGTATAAGCAGTAGGGTGAAAGAAAAAGGAAAAATAGTATTGCTTCCATTTGTTTGCATCGGTAGTCATCTACAGTACATAAATATCAATCATCAGGTAAGAACCCAGAAAAGAGTAAATGACGCCAATCCCCCACGCTTTCAGTTTGTGAAGCCCACAGTTCAAATTGGGCCTCACCGTCACGAGAAGTTCGGCCCATTATAGCATATATCTACCGCGGGAGGAAAAGAGCGGGTAAAAGGAAAAATCAAGGAAAATTTAGCAGTGTATTTCTCCGGCCGACGGTCTCATGCGCCGAGAATCTGAAACCACCGTGTGGAATCAGAGCTCTTTCCGACCGGAGTCCAGCAAGATTCAGATAAGTTCCGAAACTCGCTCACTGTTCTATTGATCTTTTGTTGTTGGGGAGAAGTAATTTTGTGGATCACAGCTTGTAAATGCATCACATTGGCGACGTTCTTGTTGGAGGTTGAAACTTCAAAGCGGTAACAGCAAAAGAAGAGGGAGCAATGAGAAAGATACTCTGTTTCCTTGTGTTTGCAATACATTAGTTGTCTGCACACAACTAGGTCATTGTTTATATGTAAATAGAATGGGAGGCACTGGACAGTGGACACCTCTGGTGAGTGTCTTGTTTGTCTCTTTACCTAACATTATTGACGGGTCTAATTCAATTATATATACATAGATAAAACAATAGTTGATCATGAAATTGGCGAATGTCTTATTCATTCTGGGTCGAGGTTAGTTAATCTGTCATTTGTATGATTGCATCAACTTGAGCATTGTTTACTGTTTTTTTTTTCCTCTTTGCCAACTGCTGCGTCTTCATTTTCCACCACCATGTTCACCTTTACAATAATACATGTGTTTTTGAATCGTCCAACCCTTGTTCTTCCTTTCCTCTGCATCCTCTTCCTTTCTCTGCCTTTTCCAAAAAAATGGCATTTGCTGTTGCAGATACAATCCTGAAAAAGTTGGGCCCCCTAGCTGTTGAACAAGCAGGCCTCCTTTGGGGTCTCAAGAGCGAGGTTTTGAAACTGAAGAGCACGGTCACTTCTATCCGGGCCGTGCTGTTGGATGCAGAGGAGCAATCCGGTCTTAATCATCAAGTTCAAGTGTGGCTTGATGAACTAAAGCAAGTCCTTTATGATGCCGACGACTTGTTGGATGACTTCAACACTGAGGCCTTGTTGAGACAGCAACAGATGGATATCCATGGCAATCGTTGTACGAGCGAGGTAAGCCTCTTCTTTTCCGGTTCCAACCCATTGTTTAGTGGTCTCTGGATGGCTCATCGGATTAAGGCCATCAGGATCAAGTTGGATGAGATTGATCAGAATAGAACAAAGTTCAACCTTCAAACACGACTCGAGGAGCCTGCTGCTGCTATGAGCAACCTTGGCAGACAGACAGATTCCTTCGTCCCTAATGTATTTGTTGGGAGGAAAGAAGATGGTGACAAGATAATAAGCTTGTTGTTATCATCTAGTAATGAGCAGAAACTTGAAGTTATTCCAATCCTTGGAATAGGGGGTTTGGGGAAAACAGCATTGACTCAGTGTGTTTATAATGATAAGAGTGTAACTTCTCATTTTCAACTGAAAACTTGGTTATGTGTTTCGAATAATTTCAATGAAACAGTGCTGGTCAAAAAAATGTTGGAGTCTTTAACCGGAGGCAAAGTGGAAGATCTTCAGCTGCAAACTTTGAAGAGTAATTTGAAGAAGCAAATGGATAATAAGAAGTTTTTGCTGGTTTTGGATGATGTATGGGATAATGGTGATTACGAGAGCAATTGGGATAGGTTCATGAATTTTTTGTGGAATGTTGGTGCAGTGGGGAGTAAAATTATCGTAACTACACGAATTGGAAGTGTTGCAAGTTTGATGGCAACAAAAGGGATTAAACCACATGAGTTAAAAGGCTTATCCAGACAAGAGTCGTGGTCTTTGTTTGAACAGATAACATTTAAGAGAGAAGTAGTGGAAGGTGGCCAAAGGTTTAAGCAGATAGGAGAAGAGATTGTGGAAAGATGTGTTGGAGTTCCTTTGGCTATAAAGGCAATGGCTGGTATCCTGTCGTCGAAGAGAGATATAGTTGATTGGGAGGCTTTAAGAGACAAGCAAGCACGGTTAGACAGGGTTGACAGTGATAAAAGGATATTGGCAACTCTAAGGTTGAGCTACGACAACCTCCCTTCCCATTTGAAACCATGTTTTGCTTATTGTAGCTTGTTTCCAAAGGATTGTGAGATTGATGTGAGAATGTTGGTACAACTTTGGATGGGGCAAGGGTATATTGATTGTAGCCAATCATCATCGTCAAATCTATATGACACCGGAGTTGAATATTTCAAGAGTATGTTATCGAAGTCGTTTTTTCAAGAGTCGTCCTTAAATCAATTGGGGGATCTGGATGTCTGTAAAATGCATGATTTGATGCATGATCTAGCTCTGGAAGTTGCGGGGAAGGAGAACTTCACTTTGAGGGCCTCAAATTCAATGGTTAATGATGATATCAACTTTGATAGGCTTCTACACTTATCAATCGATTTTGAGGAAATACTAAGAGAGTCATGGAAAGTTCCAGGTTTGTTACTCAAACCAACGAAACTGAGGACTTTTCTTACTACGAATTTGCATTGGCGGGGCATGAATGCACATGGAGGAACCCAATATGAGACTATCTTCTCAAATATGACTGGTCTGAGAGTTCTAAGTTTCTGTGGTGCTCGTATAGAGATTGTCCCTCCCTGCATCAATAAGTTGAAACGTCTCAGGTATCTTGATCTTTCTGATAATGAAATGGAAATGTTACCCGATGAGATCACAAGACTGGTAAACTTGCAAGTGCTCATCTTAGATGATTGTGGACTGCTTCAAGAACTGCCAAGAGACATAGTGATGTTGTCCTATCTTCAGTGTCTTAGCCTTATCGGCTGTAACGCTCTAAGAGGCTTACCATCTGGAATCGGGAAATTGATTCGTCTGAAAGAATTGTCCACGTTCATAGTAACAAGTGCAGTGCACTCAGAATGGGGAGCTGCTGCTGCTGCCAAAATTTGCGACTTGAAAGATCTCAATCTAAGCGGGAGGTTGGCAATTACGAATCTGGAATCGGTCGAGACACTTGAAGCAGAGGCAGCAAGTTTAAAGAGGAAGCAATATCTTCAAGCCTTGGAATTGAAGTGGAAGGAAAGTAGTCAAGAGGCTAATGCTGCCGGGAATCTGAGGACACTAGAGGCGTTGGAGCCTCATGAAAATTTGAAGGAGCTGATGTTATCGGGTTACAGCGGATGGAGTCTACCCACCTGGTTTTCTAATTCTCTCAAGAATGTGACGAGAATCCGTTTATATAGTTGCGGGGGACTGCCATACCTGCCGTGGCTGGGTCCACTGGTTTTCCTTGAAGAATTGACGTTGTATCATCTAACCTGCTTAGAGTACATACAGACCACTCCACCACCACCATCATCTACTTCTAACAATGCGCAGTATCTTCCCTGCCTCAAGTCTCTCCAAATTGGGAATTGCCACAACCTAATCAGCTGGTGGTCGACCACAATGAAAGAGGTGCCGTTGTTCCCGTGTTTTTCCTCTCTTTCGATTTCTCGCTGTGAGAAACTGGTATCCGTTCCTCGCCTCTCGTCGCACGTGGAAAGGGTTCTGTTAAAGGGTGTGAAGAGTGAGCTGTTGGCTGAGTTCGCTGCTGCACTTCCTCCACCCCATTCCCCAACACAATCCCAATTTAAATCACTTACAATTGTTGGCGTGAAAGGTCAACAAGTTTTGGTTCCAGAGATACTGCCACAGCTTGTTTCGCTTGAATACCTGAGCATACAGCAGTGCCCAAATTTAACGACTCTGTCTCCACCACCAGCAAATATTCTTAGTCAAGAACATCTCCCGTCCCCTCAGAGTGTTACTAACAACAACATGGTGCCACTGTATGCGCTTCCTGCCCTGCTTCGCTTTAGGATCAAGGCTCTCAAAAGCTTGGAGTGTCTACCAGAATGGCTTCAGCATTCCTCTAAGTTGCAGCTTCTGGAGATAACTGAGTGTGAGGGTCTCGAATGCTTACCAGAATGGCTCCCAAAGCTCGCAGCGTTGGAGACCTTGGAAGTAGACTCATGTGGCCGTCTGTCACCGAGGTTGGAAAGCAAGGTGTCTGAAGACTGGCTCAAAGTTACCCACCTTCAGAATATCAAAATCAATGATTTAGTGGTTCAACGAAATGGTAACTACTCGTCAGTACAAGTAGCAGAAGAAGAAGATCAATACCAAGTAGAAGAAGCGGAGAGAGACGAAGAAGATGAAGAAGAAGAAGAAGAAGAAGAAGAAGAAGCAGCAGCAGCAGCAGCAGAAGAACTACCCACAGGCACCCAGTTTACAAGGTAGATACATTCTTCCGTTTCTTCTACTCAACCATGAAACTATATTAATTTGTAGGTAGGATTCGCATTTCAAAACGATACACATTGCTCCATGAGATAGACATCTGTTGTGGCACAACGAAGTACAAACACACACTGATTCTCATCCTTTTCTCTTTGCGCTACAGTGAACTTTCTTTTTTTCCTCTCCGTTAATCATATATTTTCTTTCCTGTCTTTTGAGGAAATGTCTTCCATTTCCTATGCTATGAACACATTTCTTTAGTAGGAAAGCACTTTCTGACATTATTAAGTAATTTTGGTGCTGCATTGCAGGATTTTGTCAAATTGCATAGCAAGGCTGACTTGCAACATTTTTCACAGATGCTTTCTCTGCTAACTACCTTCTACAGGCATTTCCCACGTTGGCTAACTATAAGGTGAGTTTCTGAAGATTAAGTCTCTCGTGCCTACACTGAGTATCACTAACTTAAGGTGGATTTGTTTCTTAGCTGTAGTTGAATTAATTATAAGAATGCAGCAGGAGCTACTGGCTGTTGCTGCTGCAATTGCTCTTCCCATGGCTGCCAAAAGGGCTTTTTTCCTACTCCCAGCTTAGTTAGCTATAATGCTTAGTCAGCTTTTCTGTGAATCAGCCTCTCCATGAAATTGAATTAAGACGAGTAAAATGGTGGTGCAGTTTTGGATACGAAATAGGTGGGATCAATTTATGTCTTGCTGCAGCAATTCAAAGGTGCAAGAGACAGCTGTGCATGTTTTTATTGACCTTCTCTACTCTTCTCATGTATATGAGAACTTTATATTCTGAATCTCTGGTTGTTTTTTATTTTTAGAATTTTATTTGGATGGTAAGTTTTGCTAAAAGGTTGTTTTCGATTTTTAGCAATTAATGATGATGCAATATCCCTTGACCGTGTTTGATATAAGTTTTATTTTTCTTTCATAGGTATCCTTGAAGAGAAATATTTAAATGCGAAATATTCAAGATCTTCGTCGCCTTGCTTGATTTGATTCGCAGGAGAAGAGGCGATCAGATTTCGCTCGCAACGGTGAAGAAGTCGAGAGAGAAGAATAAGGGGGAGACAATAAGGAATTTCGAGAGAGATTACAAATGTGTGGTAGGTTAGGTCGACGATTTAAGGGGTCGTTTGCTTCAAGGATTTTATAACGAGGGTTTTGTCATGGATTTGCTAATTAAAAACCTTGGGATTTATTAGGGATTTTGGGCATTATGGATTTGAGGAAATCTTTTGTTTGTTGAGCTATTTTTATCATTGATTTGATGGTTTTTCAGCTTGTCTCCAAGGGCTCGTTTGCGTCGTGGATTTGAAAAATGAAGGTTTTGGTATAACTTGGGTTTTCACAAACCATGGATAAATGAGGGTTTTAGGTTCATTATAGATTTGATAAACACCATTGTTTGTTTGATGGATTTCATGATGGATTTTGTTTATTAAATTTGTATGTATGAAGTGTAATTTACCTTTATTGCCCTTAATGATATAAGAAGACAAAGCAAATATGAAGGGTATGTTGGTAAAAAATGATGGACTTCAAAGTCCATGATCAATTCCCACCTAAATAGGTGGAACTTTCAAGTCCGTGGGGTCCACGGATTTGGTCCCTTAAAGTTCGTGGGACCCACAGATTTGTTTCCCCTAAATGCATGAAGCAAACAATGGATTTTGGACAAAGTCCATGATAGATCCAAATCCTTCACCAAATCCATCACCAAATCCACCAAGCAAACAAGCCCCAAATCCCAGGGTATGAGGTGGGATTTACAAATCCGTGGGGCCCACGGATTTGGATCCCCAAATCAGTGGACCCCACGGATTTGGTACCCTCCATTTTGGCTCAACAAACAATGGCTTTTGGACAAATCCTTCATGTGTGGGATTTGAGAACCAAATCCCACATCCAAATCCTTGAAGCAAACGTGAGGTTTATTTTTTCCCAGTTAAATGACTTTGTACAGGGCGTCGTGTTAGCACTTATTTGAGTAGTACTGATTTTTTGGGTTAACATTGGATCGAATCAGACTCAATCCAATTCGGTCGCGATTAAAAACGTCTCCAATCTAATTCAATTTCCGATTCCAGTTTTAGGGGGAAATCAATCCGGTTAACCGGAACGTTCCCATCCCTAAATAAATAGCTATGGATTTTTCAAATTTCACCCCTAATTCTGCCGCCCAGCTTCAGTTGTGGGAAAAATGAAGGGGTCGTCAGAACGCTTTCCCCTCTCCTCATATTCCGATCGCCGGCGAAACGCGAAGCGGCGGAATTTTTCGTGTCATGATTTCCAAATCAGCGGTGAACTTCTCCGGCCGACTAACTCTGTACGTACCAACACCACCTTTAATATTGAGACCACCGTTCGGTGGGAATCAAAGCTCCTTTCCGATCGGCGGCAAACCACAATTCAGTTGTTTCTATGTTAAATACTGCAACTGCCTTCTATGCTTGCTCGAAATTCAGTAGCCAGAAAGTTACAGTTTCAGGTGTACTTTCCAACCCGCGTCGGATGAATCTCTCCCCGTCAATGGTCGGATCTGTAAGTATAGCAGTATCTTAATTGCCTCCTGTGACCTAGCATTGCTTGATTCCCTGCGCGCCTTAAATGTCGGATCTCGTCTCACTAGACGAGAAGAATAGACTATGATCAATTTGGTGAATACCTATATTAGTCGTCTTGGATTGAGATATGTTAATTTTCACATGGCATCGCATCAACTTGAGCATTGTTTACTGTTTTTTCTTCTGACCAAATCAGTGCAGCAGAGGCAGTAGCTAGCCCGTTAGTCTGGGCAAGCAACTGGTGCATCCATCTTAGATCATTTTTCTGCCAAGCACCATCTTCATATAATTAATCCAAGTCAACTCTTGAATTTCTGAGTGGTGTACATTCTATACAAGTTTCTTCCCCCTTGCACTTCCTCTCATTCATAGCAAATTACTGATCCTCTTCCTGATTTATGCTTTGGCTGTGAAACCCTATTTCTCTCTTCCAGAAATGGCATTTGTTGTTGCTGAGGCTATCCTCAAGAAGTTGGGTCCCTTAGCTACTGAGCAGGCAGGGCTCCTCTGGGGTCTGAAGAGCGAGGTTTTGAGACTGAAGAACAAGGTTACTTCCATGCGGGCTGTGCTGTTGGATGCAGAGGAGTTATCTGGCTTGAATAACCAAGTTCGAGTTTGGTTGGATGAACTGAAACAAGTCTTTTATGAGGCTGAAGATTTACTGGATGATTTCTCCACGGAAGCTCTGTTGAGGCAACAACAGGTGTATAGTGATGGCAATGTCAGTTTGAGTGAGAAGGTACATCTTTTTGTTTATTTTTCGATTTCACTAGCATAGTTTTTCATAATGATCATATTTAGATACTTCATAGATGAAAAAACACCACTCAAGTACATGTTCGTATCATATAGCAACTAGGGAAGGGAAAAAAAAAAGATGAAGAACAAATGAAACTAAGCTAAATAGAAAGGTGGAAAAAGATCAAGAAAATAAGAAAGGTACAGGTTGTGATGTAAACTGAGCTATAACTTTCCTGAAAAGTTTCTTCTTTCCTGCATGTTGGTGTTGGTTTCACCATACATTGTTAATCAAAAGGATGATAATTTAATAATTAAGAAGAAGAAGAAGAAGAAGAAGAAGAATATAGGTGTTGTAAGACTGATGGAAAACAATGAAGGCACAAGATGTCTTGGATAAGAAGACAATGTCAAATGAGGTTTTCTTCCACTTTTTAACTCTTGGTCCACAGTTTGCATTTAGGGAAAGAAACAACTCTCATCACCTCTATCATATAAAATTAATTACAAATGGTTCATCTGATCCCAATAGGTACAACTATTACTTTCAAGTTTCAACCAATTGTTTAGTGGTCTCGTGATGGCTCATCAGATTAAGGCCATAAGGACCAAACTAGATGAGATTGATGAAAATCGGAAGATGTTCAACCTTCAAACGCGACTTGAGGAGAAATCTTCTGCTCTCAGGAAGATCGGCAGGCAAACTGACTACTTCGTCCCTGATGTGTTTATTGGGAGAGAAGAAGATAGTGCAAAGATAATAAGCTTGTTGTTATCGACCGACAAAGGGCTGAAAGTTGAAGTTGTTCCAATTCTTGGTATAGGGGGTCTGGGGAAAACAGCACTGGCGCAACATATTTACAACGATAAGAGTGTGAGCTCTTATTTTCAACTTAAAAGTTGGGTATGTGTTTCAGATAATTTTGACGAAACAGTATTGGTCAAAAATATTTTGGAGTCTTTGACTGAAGACAAAGCTGGAGATCTTCAATTGCAAACTTTGAAGAGTAAATTGAAGAAGAAAATGGATAATAAGAAGTTCTTTTTGGTGTTAGATGATGTTTGGGATAAATGTGATTATGAGAGCAACTGGGACAGTTTCATGAGTTTTTTGTGGAATGTCGGCGCAATGGGGAGTAAAATCATCATAACTACACGTATTGGAAGTGTTGCAAATTTTATGGCGACTAAAGGGCTTGAACCACAGGAGTTACAAGGATTAAACAAACAAGATTCATGGGCTTTGTTTAAACATATAGCATTCAAGAGAGAAGTACAGGAAGGTGATGGAAGGTTTGTACGGGCAGGAGAAGAAATTGTGGGAAGATGTGTTGGAGTTCCTTTGGCTATAAGGTCGATGGCTGGCGCATTGTCGTCAAAGAGAAATGTGGTTGATTGGGAGGCTTTAAGAGACAAGCAAGCACGACTAGATAGGGTTGGGAATGATAAAAGGATTTTGGAAACTCTAAGGTTGAGTTACGACAACCTGCCTTCTTACTTGAAACCCTGTTTTGCTTATTGTAGCTTGTTTCCAAAAGATTGTGAGATTTCCATAAGAATGTTGGTACAACTGTGGATGGGGCAAGGATATATTGATTCTAGCCAATCATCATCATCAAATCTATATGACAGTGGAGTTGAATATTTCAAGATTATGTTATCGAAGTCCTTTTTTCTAGAGTCGTCCGTAAATAAATTGGGTGATCTGGCGGTTTGTAAAATGCACGATTTGATGCACGATCTAGCTCTAGAAATTGCAGGGAAAGAGAACTTCACTTTGAAGGCCTCAACTTCAATGGTCAATGATGATGTCAACTTCGATAGGCTTCTCCACTTGTCATTCGATTTTGAGAACCTACAAAGAGAGTCATGGCAAGTTCCAGATTTGTTACTTAAGCCAACAAAAGTGAGAACTCTGCTTCCTACAAATTTGTATCGATTTGGTATGAATGGATGGGGAGGAACCCAATATGGGACAATCTTGTCTAATATGACTAGTCTGAGAGTTCTAAGTTTCTCTGAGACAGGTATGAAGATTGTCCCACCCTCCATCCACAAATTGAAGCATCTGAGGTATCTAAATCTTTTTGGAAATGAAATGAAGATGCTACCTGATGAGATCACAAAATTGGTGAACTTGCAAGTGCTCATCTTAGACTATTGTGGACAGCTTCAGGAACTGCCAAGAGACATTGTGAAGTTGTCCCATCTTGAGTGTCTTAGCCTTGATGGTTGTTGTGCTTTGAGAGGCTTACCATCTGGGATCAGGAAACTCGCTTGCTTGAAAGAGCTGTCCACATTCGTAGTGACAACGGTAGCTCACTTAGAATCAGGAGCCACCGCTGCCAAATTTAGCGAGTTGAAGGATCTCAATCTAAGCGGGAGGTTGACAGTTACGAATCTGGAATCGTTGAAGGAGAAGGCTGAAGCGGAGGCATCAAGTTTAAAAACAAAGCCAAATCTTCGAGCCTTGGAATTGATGTGGGATAGTGATCAAGAGGCTAGTGCTGCTGGGGATTTCAGGACACTAGAGGCGTTGGAGCCACATGAAAATTTGAAGGAGCTGATGATAAGGGAATACAGAGGATGCAGTCTACCCACCTGGTTTTCTAGTTCTCTCAAGAATGTGGTGATAATCCGTCTGGAATGCTGTGTGGGACTGCAATATCTGCCATCGCTGGGTCCACTGGTTTCCCTTGAAGAACTGACGTTGCATTTTCTAACCCACTTAGAGTACATACAACAGGATGAGGCCTTTGCAGCACCATTAGCATCTACTTGTAACAACAACAATAATATTGTGCAATATCTTCCACGCCTCAAGTCTCTCTCCATTACGGGTTGCAGTAACCTGATTAGCTGGTGGTCGACCACAAAGATAGAGGTGCCACTATTTCCTTGTCTTTCCTCTCTTGACATTTCTTACAGTGAGAAACTGGTATCCATTCCTCGGCTTTCGGTGCACGTTGAGACGGTTGGGTTATCGAGTGTAAAGAGTGAGCTGTTGGGTGAGTTTGCTGCCTCACTTCCTCCACCCCATTGCTCGACACAATCCCGATTCAAATCACTTAGAATCGAATGGCTGGAAGGTCAAAGAATGTTGGTGCCAGAGCTTCTGTCACAGCTTGTTTCGCTTGAATACCTGTGTATACAATTTTGTCCAAACTTGATGACTCTGTCTCCACCACCAGCTGATATTCCTAGTCAACAAAATGTCACCTGCCTTCAGAGTGTTACTAACAACAACATGGCTCCACTGTATGCCCTTCCAGCCCTGCTTCGCTTTGAGATAAACTCCCTCCATAGTTTGGAGTGTCTACCAGATTGGCTTCAACATTCCTCTAAGTTGCAGCTTCTGGATGTAACTTTTTGTGATGATCTTGTGTGTTTACCGGAGTGGCTCCCGAAGCTCACAGCGTTGGAGAATTTGGAAGTACACTCATGTGCTCGTTTATCACCTAGGTTGGAAAGCAGGATGGCTGAGGACTGGCCCAAAGTAGCTCGCATCCCAAATATCAAAATCAATGGTAGAATGGTTCAACGGAATGGTAACTACTTGGCAGTAGAAGAAGAAGAAGAACAAGAAGATCAATACCAAGAACAAGAAGCGGAGGGGGAAGAAGATGATCAAGAACTACCCACAGGCACCCAGTTTTCAAGGTAAGTATACATTCTTGAGTCAATACTTTGTTCCATCAGACAGACACACAACTTCTCATCCTTTTCTCTTTCGCTACACTGTTGAATTTTTCTTCTTCTCTACATTACTCGTATATTTTCTTTCCCCCTTTTTGAGGGTCTTACTTCCATTTATATGATACGAACATTTGTGTTTAGTATAAAAGTGCTCTACTACATCATTGATTAATTTCTTATGTTGCATTGCAGGATGTTGTCAAATTGCATAACAAGGCTGACTTGCAACATGTTCCACAGATGTTTTCTTTGCTAACTACATTCTGCATGCATTTCCCTTGATGGTTAACTATTAGGTGAGTTTTGAGTTTCTGAAGATCACAATTCTCGTGCCTATACTGAATATCACTGGCTTCTTGCCATTTAAACTGAAAAAGTTAAGTGTTGAACTTAAGGTGGGTTTGTGTTCTTAGTCGCAGTTGAATTAGTTATAAGACAACAGGAACTACTGGCTGCTGCTTTTTCCATGGCTGCGAAAAGAACTTTTCAGCTGCCCAAGAAGAACTCAACAACTTTTATGTGAATCAACTTCTCCATTCAATCGAAGTAAGTAATTAATAGGTGGGATCAACTGATTTCTTACTGCAGCAATTCAAAGTTGTAATAGACTGCAATTTACTTGTGTGTTTGCGAGCTGCAATGCGAAGGGTCTTTGTGCCTGTGGATAGTGTGGATGCTGTTGAGCTTCTCTAGCCTGCTCAATTATTTGGCTAAAGTTAATAGCACTTGAACTTGAAAGTTCTAGTGTCGTTTGATTATTTAGAGTGCCGTTTGGATGTTAAGCATTGCTGAAAGGATGTTTCGTTTTTATCAACTTATAGTCTTACTCAATTTAAGGGTGTAATATGCAGCGACTGTCTCTGGGTTGATATAGATGATTTTCATTGAGCGCCATTATCTCTTGCCTGATGTGCTTTGTTCTGAGTAAGAAAAGTTCAAGTAGAGGGTGGTGTTTGATCGTCTCGTTCTTTAAGCATTGTGGTTATTGTGAAATTTTCCTTTCTTCCTGTTTTATCTTTTGGGTTCTCATGGAGGGGGTTTGGGAAGGTAAGTTTATGGTGAAAACTAGGGAAATTGCTGGGTGTATATCGATTAAGTGTATCAAACTTTTGCCTCAAACTTCATGATGACTTTTGCGTTTGTTGCAGACCCAAGAGTGGTATTGGATGACAGGAAACCAGAACTGGCTATAAAAATTTCTTCAGAAAACCTTGCTAATCTGCAAATTTGCAAGCCCCCTCCTTCTGCATTCTGCACTGATCGAGTAATCTGGAAAGTCGGATGTTGAACTCCAGATGTTCACTGGGTTAGAGACTTTTCAAGTACATTCCTGCCGTCTGGAAAATTGCTCACTTTCTAAATGTTGTAATCAGTGGAGGATGGATCGAGCGGAGGAGGAAGAAGAAGGATCAGATGAAGAGAAACAACAAGAACATGGCCACCGAGAAGAAGTGACCTCAGGCCCCCAGTCCTCGAGGTAAACATTCTTCTGCTTAGCACAGCTTTATGTCAACCCTTTCTTTTGCTGGCTGCAGTGTTGAACTTACAGCATGTTGATTTCTCTGTCTCCGTAACATTGTTGCTGATTTGAGGGATATTAAAGTGTTGAATAACTTTGTTGGTGTTACTGCAGGTTGTCGGATTGCGAGCGAGACTGACTCGCAAGCTTTTCCAAAGTTGTTTTCTCTGCTAGTAGCAACAGCGCAATCTGATTAAAGGGGAACATGGTCGCTCATTTGTTCATCATGGATCTTGTCTCGAAGGGTTCACAAATCACAAAGGCAAAATACACTTCCATAGCCATAACTTTCACCTTTTTGATAAATATAGCCATAATTATTGGAAAACACAAAATAGCCCAAAAAATAAATGGTATTGTGACAAATCTAGCCATTTCCGTTAGAAACATTGATGGTGTTAGAAACTCCGTCAGTTAGATTAATTTTTGGCTGACTAGGATGCCAAATCATTGCACACGTCAGCGACAACTCAGCCATACTTGCCACAATAATGCCATGTCATATTTAATATAAAAAATAAATAAATAAATAATTAATTAATCAATAAATGTGCATTCCCCTTCGTTGCCGTCAAAACCCAGATCGCTTCTCTTCGGGGACGGCTTCTCTCCGGGGACCATTGAAGAAGGCCCGCCACCATCTCCAAATTTTGCGATTGAAGAAGACAAAGGTTAATACTTCTCCATGGCTATCACTTAACCCACCACAAGCCACCCAATAGAATTACAAATTATAATTTTTTGGATTAAGGATTTGCGAAATTGATTAATCGGCAAGGACTCTTACCAATCATCAGGGGGATGACTCTTATCATCTCCCTATAACACTTCTCCATGGATTTTGACTCATGCGGTGGAAGCTCGCCACAAAGCCCATCCTCGCCGCCCGAAAGCCATCCTTGGATTCGGATCCAGATCCTCCCGCCGACTCCAACGACGCGGCTACGCTTCTCGGCTCGCCACCTCCTCTATCGATGAAATTCCCCCTAATTTCAGGTTCTCTTCCAAGGAGGTCCTCCGCATCGGCGCAGTCCTCGACGCAGCCGGCACAACCATGACCACTACTGACGATGGGGGAGTTCAGTGCTGTGGATGTAGGTGAGACCGGTGCTTTGCCTCGTGGCCTGCGATTTGCTCAGGTAGTTGGTGGGAATAAGGTTGTGGGTTGCGGGTGCTGGGATGAAGATGATGTCGATGGCGGCGGTGGCGATTTAGGGTTGCTGGATAATGGTGGTTAATAGGGGTAGAGGAGTACGGGAGGAAGATGAAGCTTTTTCTATTTTCTTTTTCATTTTATTAAATCAAAAATTGCACTTATGGTTTTTTTGTTTTTTTGTTTTTGTTGTTAATACACGTGTCCGACCAAAAATCGCCAGGTCAGCATTTCCGTTAGTACAATCAGACTGTTAAATAACACCGTAAAAAAGATGGACGAAAATGGTTATTTTGTGTTTTCCGATAATTATGGCTATATTTGTAAAAAACGTGATAGTTATGGCTATGGAAGTGTATTTTGCCAATCACAAATAAAAAATGTCTTCCTACATTCTCCACAGTCGGCGTCTCATGTAAATTGGCGCGAATAATTTAAGCTCTTCTGTGGGCTGGGCTTCCATGGGCTACAAAGCCAATCTCCGTTAGAGACCAATTAATTGGAACTTGCGAGCATTGTTTTGGGCTGAAATAGATGAAACTATTATAGGCTGTTGTGGGCCTTCACATGGATTTCGGCCTACATGTTTTATGGCCTCGTTTCCCCCTCTAATTTTAGCTCGAATTGGATTGAACTGAGATTAAATATCATTTTTCCAATAAATCATTAGTCTTCTGATTATCCCTGACTTATATATAGCTAACCATAGTTAGTTACTGATGAATAATGTTTCAGCCTGAGAACTACCTGAATACTGAAATATGCGATATACATTTTTTTTCTAAATATGGTGACACTATCGAGTTATCGACGATGTATCAACTAGAATTTGAAAAATGGTACTCTATAGTAAGTTTTAATTGATAAATCATAATATCCTAATTCTCTAAAATCATAAGACCAATTAATCAAAAACAACATAACAATTAACGATAAGATCAATAGTAGTACGCTAGCTCGCACTCGCAACCATAACAACATCATATGAAATCTGAAATCATATAAAGTGGTTATAGAGTTGTTTTGGGTGGTTGGTTGGTCAACCATATACATTTTGGGGGTGAGGTAGCAGGTTGTAGAGTATCTGTGAGTAGGGATGGCAACAAAACCCGAACCCATGGGTACCCACCCAACCCAACCCGGTCAACACGGGTAAAACCCGTGTTGACGGGTTTTGGGCTGGGTTCGGGTTTAAACCCGCTACACTATTCACCGGTCGGGTTGGGTTTGGGTTTAGGTAAACCCGATCCATGGGTACCCGCCCACACACATATAATTACTTTCCCGGTATATTTAATATTCTAAATAATATATCTTCCTTAAACAACTAATATTCTTTATGTTTGTGGAGACATGTATAATTTGTTCGTTTAGAATGAAGTTGATATTATGAAGTGGAGAGTGAAGAAACTTAGTTGACGATGAAGAAGCTTTCAATTAATCTTATTATTTATAGATGTTTATCTTTATTGAACAATTTGTATTGATCATTTGCGGTTTGCTTGTATGCTCTAGATTGGTGTTTTTTGTATGAATAATTTGTATTAGAAAATGTATGTTAAACTTTTATTTTGAAAGAAACTTGTTATTGTAAATTTTTTACCACAAAAACCCACGGGTACCCATGAAACCGCGGATACCTAGCGGGTTGGGTTGGGTTTGAGTTTTTCAAACCCAGCGAGTTTTACCCCGGATTTTTTGGGCGGATAAACCCATGGATTTGGGTTTGGGTTTGACAAAACCCGCCCCAACCCGACCCATTGCCATCCCTATCTGTGAGTCTCACAAAACATCATTGGTCGAACCCAATAAAAAAACAATGGGGAAACATTCATAATTGGAATTTTCCTTCCCAAAATGACATTTTTTTCTTCTTCTAATTCTCTAGAGAACTCATCATCAAGAGGGTTGACTCTACCTGTAAATTGGTATTTTTATGAACAACCCAAATTGCTCTAAATAATCAGTAGCAGGTGGGGAGTTGGTTTTGTGTCAATGGCAGATGGTATCATCACCTGGTGCTGGTGTTTCAAAAACTTGGCAATGTAATGTCATGATGACAGGGACGACTCATATGAATTGGATAAAGTAAAACCAAAGTCCCAACGTAATGGCTGATTCATGCCCCATAATTTGTATTAGTATAGTGTAGTTTCCCTTCCCATATCCCAACTTGCCGACTCTCCATGAATATTTGTATTCATAAGCACTCAATACAACTATGGAATTAACATATAGCTAGCTAGTAACATGCGTTCAATTCATTCCAGCCCTTTGAGGCATCAAGTTTGAAATTATAGTAAAACAATTGGATGATTTTTTTTTTGTATGCAACTATACCGTTATCATTCGTTGGTGGGTCTGGACGATAGAATGAAACCCAGTGTATGTACATGGTCGGTCAGAAGAAATTTGAGTTGAACATTTTTAGAACGAAGATGAACAAAGCCAGGTGTTTGGATCTGATTGTGCGATCTGCTCGAAATTATGATCTGAAATTAATATTCCATAGGTTCTGAAAACCAGCTAAGAAAACTATCTCACGGTCGACATGAAGTCAAACATTAGAATTTGTATGAGTTAAGGTGATGAAAGTCGTTAATAATTGCTCGTGTTGGGTGAACATGAGATGATATTTAAATTTTTAATGCAAAACACGAATTTGCCCTCTAATTGGTTGAACGCTCATGTCAACGTAGTTGGACGTCTACCCCCAAACCGGCTACAATTAACGTTTCATATCTAGACGTCTGAACGTCCCCAAGTCCATGTGCATTTGTGCTTCAACCTTAATCGATCAAGGAGTTCAACTTCAATGTCGTCTTGGATTGTCTGTGTTTGAAGTAGCCCACTTAAGGGTGTGCACCGCACATTGGTTTATACCGAATCGTATCAGACCGAATATGATATGGTTCGATCCTTAGTCTCGTGGATTTTATAAATACTTAAGAAAAATAGACCAAATTGACATTTAGATTGGACAAAACTGAACCGAATGCATTATTGATCCGATCCTTAATCCTAAATTGTCTTTTACTATTCAATGGAACTTTCCTTGATTTTCTTACCAAAATCAACAATGTTGGAGATCGTCAAGTTTTACCAACTTAAAATGAATTAATTAATCGAGGTTGATTAAGTATGTCTATGAGCTCTAATAATCGATAAATCAATTAATTAATCTTCTATCTCTTCATATTGATGACATGGTGATGATCCTTCAGCCAAAAATGTGTGCACACATAGTGACCCATAAAGCAAGAAGGCATTCGCGTGCCTTTCAAGTTTTCTATTTGGCAATTAAAGTGCAATTAATTCCCCCTTCATCATTTCCCAAATCACAGAACAGGATGATAGATGATGGAAGCCTAACACACCCAAGGCCAGCCTATTGAAAGCTGCTTCCATGGGGAATTTCCCATTTTTTTTCTCATGATTGTGGATTTGCTTTCATATGTACAGAATTGTGTGATACAATGTCAAAAGTTAAGTCATTTTTCTCGAGACATGGAATCTCGGTTTTGAGAAATGTTGAAATATAAATTTTAGGTATGCTTATTGTGGTAGTTCGCTACTGAAAAATGATCGATTGGTTACGGAAAATGGTCGAGCTCTTCTGACAAACGATCGACGGCTTTCGACAAATGGTTGACTGGATGATACAGTTACTTCTAATTATAGTTTACAAAATCATGGATAATAGGAGGCTTATAAAACGAAATTTCTTAACAGTAGTACAAACAACATTTCACCCATGAGTAGTCAAATCTCTACGAAGACTATCACCATGGAAAGAAAGAAATAACACACATTTTAACACTTCTGGACCTTAAAGATGATATGATTGTATACAGTGGCGGAGGCAGCATTTCAAACCACCCTTGTCCTCTTTTCATAACTTAAATATATAAGTATCTAATAAAAGAATTATTAATAAAAAATAATTATATCCAAATAATTCATTCATAAATTAAAAATAACCGATTATACTATCATACTTTTCATAAACAACTATGAAGGAATTTCATATAGTGAAAAAAACGCAAAAATAATCGTTGTCTACACTATTATATAAGTCTCTTTTAATGTATCTTACTAATTAAACAAGTATTAGCAAACTGGTCATCAAATCGACTTGGAAACTTGTTCTTAATATAACTCAAAGCTGAAAATGCTCTTTTTACACTTGCAGTTGTAATTGGTAGATCAAAACTAGTGGGATTGCCGTTGTCGCTAGACAATTTCAGGGTTGTTGGGGAAAGATCGAATAGGCATAAGGAGAAAAGAGACCTGATTAGTTCTTTATTGCAATTGGAATTTCGTTTATTGTATAATAAATTAATTTTATGTCAATTTTGGACAAGTAATGAGTTGTGTTTTAGTGACAAAGTACTCTAATACTACCTATACGTGTTGTGTTCCATCACCAATATAAATATATATGGCGTATTTTTGTTCCACCGAAATTTACCCCTGTCCCGGGACAAGGCCAAAAGTCCCTGCCTACGCCACTGATTGTATAACAATGCTATCCTACTTTTTAAGTCGATCTCTTCGTAATAACAATGAAAACTGCACCACCACAAGTCAATTACAAAGCTTTAAACCCAAACAATAGTAAATTTGAAGGAAAGGTGAAAGCTTGTATAGAGTAAGTCAAATCTAAAAAATAAACCTACATAACAGTTTCCAAATCTCCACAAGAACAATCACTCAAGAATCCTCTCATATATGCTCCAATCTTTGTACTCACTTCAACTCTCTTACCAACACGCATATCCATTAACAGTGGACGTCTACAATCAAATACGTTGATTTCATTAATAACGGTTCATTCGGTCGACTGATTGCCAAGACCTATCAACCATTTCCCATAAGAGGTTGACCATTTTCTCCAAGTCACTGTAACTTGTAAATCACCATAGCAAAGTCCTAAATTTTATAACGATTGTCTTATATCTTATATCTAAACACTATTTTTATATCATATCTTGTAATATGTATTTTGAGTCTGAAGAATGGAATTTTATTGCAAGCTATATAGATACCAACTCACTACATGATTGTGCATTCTATAATGGCCATCATTGTTGTTCGTCGATAGTGCTGTTAAAACAAGATATGTTAGGTTCGGACCAACCAAAAGAAAATTTGAGAAAAGAAATGAAAACGAACACATTAGGTTTAACTGCTGCAATTAAAAGAAATGAAAATGGGTTGGTCACAGTCAAAGTTTGAAGCATTTTGTGCATGGAATTAAAAATACTTTGTTTGATTATATATGTCTATAAGATGATGGGTAGACGGAGGCTTAATCATACAAAAAAAAAAAAAAAAAACCATACATCCTTATCATGCTGGCTGTCATCTTTACTGTTATATAACTTACGAGAATAGAAAAAGGAAGAAGCTTACTAAACTAAATTGCCCAATTTCCCTGATTAGAGATGACCAATATTCCATGTTAATAAAATTATTCCTTTATTAGTTTAGAATTTCCATTCCACTCTCAACCATCACTACACCAGCAGCTGCATGAAGCCATTGAACAAGTTAGTCGTAACGAATCAGTTTATCCTATGATTCCGAGTTAAATACAGAGTTAAAATTCTCACTCTATATATTAACGTCGGACAGATTATTTTGGACGATCATGAAAATTTTAAAATCATGTTAAAAATCAATTTGTTGGGAAAATGAGCTGTTTATTTATGAATCCTAAAAATACTATGAGCTAGCTGTTTTTTCTTTGCAATTAGTGAATATACATGTGGAAGATCACGATATATCAGTGTGGGAAAAAGAAAGTAGATTTAACTTTGCTGTAGTTTCTTAGAAATCTCAATCTGAAATGGGATGGCCTTTAATAACAAATTCACATTTCAACCGTGGATGGATGGGATAGAAAACGAGATATCTTTCTGGTTTCCCATACTATGCTAGCTATCTATCTTATATAAATCAAACCATGGGAAATAAATAAATAAATAACCCAACGAGCCATCAATAATAAAAGAAAAAACACACTGATTTACGTGATTTACTAATGCAATATGTCAGCTGATTCGCAAGTAGGAAAAACCAATTCCGTCATGTTGAGAAGAGTATAGATTACAAACATGACAAAAAAATTGTTCATTTATAAACACCCTGATCCATACCATATGATTTCAAGCCGACGAAAGTTAACCAAGACAAATGATCATCACAAATCATCCCACAGGAATTGATCCATTCTACGACTAACATCATAAAAATATAATACTGATATTAGATTTTAATTTACGAAACAAAAACTTATCCCCAGCCAGCCATGATCATGATCATGCAATTAATTAAGCAAAATCCATACAAATCATATAACGTAGTTGCCGATGACTGGCCCCTTTTCTGTCTCTCTATCCTTTTATTTCCTTTTTCCTCTTTGGGTTTGTAATTGCTTTCACATTAAATTAATCAATTTAAAAAATATTAATCAATCAAAAATAAAATAAAAAACAGACGAATTTCTCTACCTCTCTCTCTCCATGGAATCAATTTTGTGCAACGCCATGTTTTCTTCGTTGAATAGTAGCATCGATATAAATAGAGGGGAGGGGAAAGCAAAGCGGTCAGGGCAGCCAAACCAGAAAACTCATCCATATTTAGCACACAGAAGAAAACGGGACGACGCCATTGGAATATCATCCAATTCATAACACCAATCTTTTCAATCCCTCCCCCCAAAAATTAGCCACCGCCAGAATAGGAAGAGAAAGAGAGAAAATTACCATGGGTGGTCTCCGTTCCTCTAAAATTTCCTTATTCCCGCCGGCTCTCTTCTTTTCGTCGCTGCTGTTTCTTCTATCCTCTATCGCCGACGGAGCAACCCCGTCGTCGTCTTCTTCTTCTTTCAACCTTTCCACGTTGGCCTTCGACGACGCCTACTCCCCACTCTTCGGCGACGGCAACGTCCTCCGCTCACCTAATGGCCGCTCCGTCCGCCTCCTCCTCGACCGCTCCTCCGGTACGTCTAATCTCATCATCAAATATAATTACCCCGAAAATAAAACGTTACATGATCCTACATGTTCATAATAGGGTACGATGAGTTCGCGCTTTAGTTTGATTGTAGCTAGCGCGTAAGTAATTTCGTCTTTGATACGTCAAAGACGAAATTCGAATTGCGCTACAGAAGAAGGAAAAAAAATTCAATTTCAATTGATTCGTATTAAACTTGTTCAAAATTTTACGCTAATACGCGAGGTGATTGTATCGCGATCGCAGGTTCGGGGTTCATATCATCGAAAATGTACAACTACGGATTCTTCAGCGCCAACATCAAGCTCCCCGGCGAGTACACAGCTGGCATATGCGTCGCCTTCTACGTAAGAAACACGAACTCGATCAATCAATTTTTATTTATAATTTATTTCATCAAAACTATATAGATGAATTAAATCCCCTAATTATTTATATGTATTTACAGACGTCAAACGGCGACGTGTTCGAGAAGAGGCACGACGAGCTGGACTTCGAGTTTCTGGGTAACGTGAGGGGGAAGCCGTGGCGGTTTCAGACCAACTTGTACGGAAACGGCAGCACCCACCGTGGGCGGGAGGAGAGGTACAGCCTCTGGTTCGACCCGGCCAAGGAATTCCACCGCTACAGCATCCTCTGGACGCCCGACCAAGTCATGTTAGTATATTATCTCTTCTCCTAATCCCTTAATTAATTTTTTTATTAATTAAATTAACCCCTTCTTTCTTTACTCGTTTTCTTTAATTATGGCAATTGTTATATTATATATATAAGCTTGATTTGATAATTGATATGGTTTAATTTTTTGACACTGCGGTTTAACGTTTTTTACGCGGCAGTATTTAATTCTTGCGCGTGTTGTTTTTGTGATTAATTTAAGTAATGATGCGTGTGTGTCTAAGGAAACTTGTTTCGAATGGATTGACTGGCATTCCATGTATGTTTTTAGACTGTTCAATTGAACTGGTTCATCTCTAATTAGGATTTTTAGCAACTTTTTTTTAAAGAGTATTACTTATTAGGGTGACAACTAACTAGACACAATGATTGGAGCGTTAATATAACGGTGGTCGAGATTAACTATCTTAATTTTGATGGAGGATTTCTCATAATCAAGAACACCTTATATTATGATTAACAACTTTAAAAAAATGCTTTGTTATTGCATTTGAAAACATGTTGAATTCAACTTATTTTCCGTCATAAACTGTTTATTCTATCGTCTCATTTGGTTTTGTCTGTATAGTCTAGATTCATAGAGTAAAGAACAGATTATCGAAATATAATCCGTATAACTAATTAAAAGTAACACCTGTTGATGCTAAACTTGCAATCAGATGTAGGTATTTGTGTGGTGGTTGAGTATGTTATTATATGTAATCTCCATAGTCTTTCTTAGTGACCATTGTAGTTGATTCACTAACATTTCTTTTTTGGGTTGGCTTGATGGGGAAGTGACCATTAATTATATCATAATTAAAGGCAGTTTCTTTTTGGGTTTTGTTGTTGTTTTATTTCAATTGGGTAGTAGTAGTAGTAGTCATCCACAAGCTTGCTTCAATATGTGGCCAAAACCTAGATGGGTCTCTTCTCTCTACAATGATGCCAAGGGAAAATGGGATAAGGTGGATGCATGTGTTGACTATTAGGCCAAAATGGAATTGCCAATTGAGCAAAAAGAAGGTAGCAATTGCGTGTAGGAGTTGTAGATATATACGTATTTGATAGAACTTGGGACTAGTGGAGAGGAAAGTGAGCTTTAACAAACCTTTCATAATTATGGAGGGAGGCCACCACTTTAACCCCCATTTGGCCTCTAATCTCAATCCATAATTGAATGCCCTTAAATGCCATCACTCGCCCTAAGAAGTAGGCCTTATTAGTTCACTAATCTACTCTCATTTACCTTTAATGGTCATAATCTTAGATAAAGTATTTACACATATATGCAACACATACATGTCTAAACAAAATGGAAACAACCCATTTGGGAGATAGTAGCTAAAGATGCTTATTTACTCGTTAGGTCACCAACTATGTTAGCTCTAATTTGGTTACCACTTAACTACTGCATTAGATACATCTCCCCTCCAATGCACATTATACCCTTTTTGTCCTCCACTTACTTTCGGATTAACATTATAGTACAACGACGCTGTGATAGTAGCTAAAGATGCTTATTCAATCTCTAAGTCACCAACTATGTTAGCTCCAATATGGTTAACACTTAACTACTACTTAAAGTATCGATTAGACTGTGCATCTTAAATCACTTGTCATCCTGCAAATACCAAATTACACACAATTGCGCCAACTCATAATATTGTGACAATTTGCTAATGTGTGTCCATTTTGGGCTTTTGGGCTTGCAGATTCTACATTGACGACGTCCCAATTCGAGAAATAATCCGAAACGACGAAATGGGCTCGGAGTACCCATCCAAGCCCATGTCCCTCTACGCCACCATATGGGACGCTTCCACTTGGGCCACCTCCGGCGGCCGGTTCAAGGCCGACTACAAGTACGCCCCCTTCGTCGCCGAATTCAAGGACCTCGCCCTCGACGGCTGCCCGCTCGAAGCCGTCCAGCAGGTCGCGTCGGCGGCGGAGGAATTGGACTGCTCCGACAGCCACGCCCGGCTCGCCGCCGCCGATTACTCCACCATTTCCCGAAAGCAGCGGTACGCCATGCGGAGGTTCCGGCAGCGGTACCTCTACTACTCCTACTGCTACGACACGCTCCGGTACCCGATCCCGCCGCCGGAGTGCGTGATCAACCCGATGGAGAAGGAGAGGTTTAAGGACACCGGGAGGCTGAAATTCGGCGGCAGCCACCGGAGCCCTAAACGGCGGTCCAAGAGAAGGAGCCGGGCTCGGGTTGTCCCGGTTATTGTTGAGGACCCGGATATGTGATTTTCCCGTTTTTTGTGAAGTTTGTTTTATTCCGGGGGTTGATTTATCTATATGATTAGTTTATAATTAGTAATTAATTACCATTGCCCACCTGTAAATTGAAAGCTCCATCTCTGTCTCTCCCCCTCAGTCTCTTGTAATATATCTGTTTCTTCATTTCCCTCTTTGAGTTTTGGTATATGCAATAAAGGAAGCAATTGGTTCTTCATCTTACAACTAGGGATGGCAATGGGTAGGGTCGGGTGCGGGTTTACCCTATACCAACTCCTAACCCGCCGGGTAGAGCTTTCTAAAATACCCGACCAAATAACCACCGGGTATGAAAATTATATAACCATACCCTACCCACCGGGTAACCACGGGTATTCGGGTAACCATGGGTACGAATCCTAAACTATGAACTTATAGTGTTATACACATATATGCACATACATACTCTTGTCCATTAAAAATTCTCAATACTTGTAACTGTTCTAGCTTCAACAATCCACACAAATAAAAATAGCAAACACATAATAATTGTTCTTTCTTCTACAATCCACACAAACATAATAATCGTCTACATCTTCATCATCAATAATGGTAGCTAAACTCAATTTCTCAAGCTAAATTAAATTTCTCAAGGGAAATTGATCCTTTGGTTAGCGGGGCGGGTATAACGGGCGGGTATTATCGATTACCATACCCGTACCCTACCCTTTATTTTGAAACCGGGTATTACCCGTACCCGCCCCTTAACCCGTCAAAACGGGTAATTACCCTCGTTGACCGGTTACGGTCGGGTAGGGTACCCATGGCTACGGGTTGGATTGACATCCCTACTTACAACCCTAGATTCGTAGATGACAATTTCGACTTAATCCATTCTATTTGATATGATATTTTGATTCGGTAAGAGACGAGTATGAATATAGAGATACTCTATTGCGATTCTTAATTGAGTGGATGGTTAGGTGTAATGTAATGATCTTTCATAATTACATGTCATGACTCTTGGGAGTTGAGCACTAATCTAGAGAGTAATCACTTCCACTCTGATCATCATTAGGATTAATACCCATTAACCCAACCTACTACAATCCATAATCAAAATGGGTGAATGAATGAACACACAAAGAAGAAGGACAAACAAATATCACATGTGATGAGTTCACATGATAATGTGGTGGAATAACTTTTGTGATGATTTTTACTTCCAGGCAAAGCAAAGTCACCATCTGAGGTAGCTATATGTCCCCTTGCTCTTTCTATATAATGGAGAAAGGAAGTATATGTGGCCACTTGCTTCCCGATATCAAAACGGCATTAGTGACTAGGAAGGTACTAGCTAGCCTTCATGAAAGCTACTAAGCCATCAGCTTCATTGCTTCTGTTTCTTCTTCTGGTTCTGGCTCTGGTTCTACCATCTTCCATGGCGGTGGCGATTCACGGAGGATCCAGAGGCGGCCTTGGCAGCAGCTCTAGCGATTCTAAGTGGAAGAGGGTGAATCATGGAAGCCTACGTGGAGGGCAGCAGCCACGAGCTCACATTGCTAATCCAGCTCTCAGTGACCAACCTGCAGCATTTTATCACCTTCCTGAGTTGGTTGTTTAGCTGTAGCTAGCTCTCTTGACCACATATAGGGTCTTTCAGGTTTGTGGTTGTTATAGCATTCTCACAAGTGCAACTGTCCTTTTCTTTTGGTGCAAGTCTCAACAATATTATACCAGTAACCAGTTGCAATTGCAATGTCTTCTCTTATGTATTCGATTCACTACCAATAGAATCTTACAACCATAACTGAAGTTAAGGATGTTACGTGGATTCGAATCCAACGCTGAATTCTTCGCTGATAGATATTAAAATTATGACGAAAAGAGGATGACAAGAAAGGAGAAACATAGCTCGAACCGAGACTTGGAAGTTACAATGTTGTCTTGAATGCAGTCAGGTTACAATTATGTTTTTTTTTTATCTCATGTACTTGGCGTTCACTTTGGTGTTCTAAGGTGTTTCAAGCTAAGAAAACAAGCACTCAATTTCCAGGGTGCCTTTGAATAAAATGGCATTTGATATCTTGATAATCATACTAGCATGCACTCAAACAAGTGTATGTCAATTACAGAAAACACATCATTCAATATCGTAACTGTCTGATCACCCAAAATGCTGGCAACAATTTTCAGCATAATAGAGAGCTGAACTTCGGTGACAGATTTTACAATGAGCAAAAGGTTCAATTTTTACACTATACACTGTAATAAATATACAAATGAGGAGCAACGGATAATCTGAAGGAAAACCAGCACGTCGTCTTCTAGATTCCAGAAGCATTACATTCTTCCAGCAGCTTTAGTAGATTATGTTCAGGGGCACTGACAGATGGTAGAATCAAACGATTTGATGAGCGCATGGGAGGCGGTCGATGAGAACCTGCAGATTCGGGTTCAGGGGTGTCACCGCCATCTTCTCTCATTACTGGCAAGTCATTTCGTCTTCTCACGGTTGCAGATACCCTCTCTTTCCATATTCTCCCATCCTGAACACCATTTATGTCAACTCATAGTTAGATAATTTCAGAAGCTCTGAACTTGAAAAGAATCGATGGAGGGATACATAATTGTACAGTCATATATAATGTTAGCATAGTCTTATGTTTATGTCTTAGTGCAACATCTACGTGCATGATATATCAAGCAACCACTGAAGATTTCCCTACTGAACAATTCTGAAATAGCCCCCTTTCAGTCCCCCCATGATAATTTTCCCCCCCCTTTTGGGTCAGGTCTAGCATAGCTTTAACTGAAAGGGCGTTATTTATACAGCTCCTGATTCATTAACAACAGCAAGCAGAGAGAACAATCACACAATTCAGAGGTACCAAAACCCAGCCAAGATCCATTACAGGGTGATGTGATGCTCATTAGGGTCTCCAAAAAAACACAGTCAGAAAGGAGGGAAGCTTCACCAGTGAGTTAGCCCCATCAACGTAGAACTTAGACACTAAAATATTAACTTCTGAGCAGAGAAGCTTTTCCTATCATCAATGTCTTTTTAATTCCATTTCTAACACCAAACAGAAAAGACACAATAAAAGAATCTACAATCCATATTCATTCCCATGACATCAAGCAACGCAAGAGCCTTTTCACCCTTTCTTGCAAATCGACAAACATGGTTCGAATGTAGTGGGGAAGCTACGAATGTCTCTTGCAGTAGAATTTGGGGGAAAAGATACATAAAGAAGAACTTCAAGCTTACATTAAGAATTGAAGGTTCAGGTACTGGACACTGAATAGGTTGATCATTGTCGAGAGGCTCAATGGGGTGTTCGACTGGCTTAAACTCAACTGTCACCTGAATCCCATGGGGAGCAACAGCTGAAGCCACAACCTCCGAGCCAGTCAGTTCCGTACTCGGGGGCAAAGCTTCTGTGTAATCCTGCTCCAGACACAACAAACCAAAAACATATTCATGAGACAATAACTCAACTGGTGTTCTTCAAGGAAAACATATTGCAAAGAAGAACAACCAATCATTTCCACTTATGAAACAAAGAGGTGCTACCCTTAATTGAAACAAATTCACATTCCTGTGCTAATACCATGCAGAGCTTTAATAGATGATCTTAAAAGGAAAACGGAAACAAACAAAGGCTTCTCCTTTCAGCTTTGAATCACTGGCTTAGCTTCTTTCATTTCTCCATTCTGTCCCCCAGCTTATGTGGGAATGCTTAACTGAAGTTATCCACAAATTCATTTGTTTAACAGTTGATCGTGCCGGACGAATGGTATCTAATGTCTGCTACCCAACTGCTCCAATATAGAGACAAGGGAGAAACGGGGGAAAGGAACAAGACAAAAAGAAAATCAACAAATTGATTCAACCATCAATCATCATCGAAGTTCGTTGATTAATACTTAGCTCAGCCCAGAAAACACAAGACATATAAGGAAGTAGGAAGCAAAAAACCAATCAGAAACAGAAGTCAATCCAATCCATGGCAGCAGCAGCAGAGCAAACGTTTCAGTCTCTAATTAGTCAACTGCTATTAAACAAAACCCCAGCTTGAATTCGACTGCTGCCCACAAAACGAAGGAGTCTAGCAATTACTACCCACTAACCAGGAAAAAAAGCTAAACTTTGCAGCTGTTCAATTGAAACAAGAGCAGATTGGAGCAAAAGGGGTTGACTTACAAGGGCGCTTTGAGTTCGTCTGAGAGAAGCTCTACCGACGGAAAGTCTGGAAAAAATCCCCACCATCGTCGGCAGGAAAAAGTTTATCAATTCCTCTGTTTTATATTGATCTGCTTCTGCTGGCTTCTTTCTGTATAGCAAAGGAACTGTTAATAGCAACAACAAATCAAACAAGAAAACGGAAACAGTCCCGATTCGTCTTTCTTGTTTCTCTCTCCCTGTATTTTTATTGTTGACTCTCCAGCTAGAAATTTCTTTTTATATTTGTCAGGTAAGCATAAGACTCTCCAGCTAATATAATTAAGGAACTGAAGAGAGAGAGGGTCCCTGTCTGTCAGTGGTCAGGGCAACGACGAAATTATTCAGTAATATTACAAATTAGATATGACGTTTGGTAATAAGAGATTTGGGGTCGTTTGTTGCTTGGATTTTTATCATGGATTTGGTCCCAAATATCAAGCCGTTTGTTTGTTTTTTATTTAAAAAAATGAGAGTTTTGGGGTGGTTTGGAAGTTGCGATTATTTTGTTGAGATTGTCATTATGCATGTATTGTTTACAATGCATCGTTTTTTGTTTTTTTTAGCAGAAACAATACATCGATTGTTTCTATGATGTGACAGAAACTATCACTCATTTTGAGTGATTGTTATATCTCAACTTTTAGTTGTGATTGTTGAGATAGTTGAGTTGAGATTGTTTTGTCTCAGCTTTTAGCTGATGCGACATACATAGTCACACATACCAAACGTTGTATTCTACCATGCATCAAATTCGACAATACATGTATAATATTATACATGCATTCTCAACAATACATCTTTTTAACAATCGCAACTTCCAAACGACCCCTTTGTTAAATTTTGAGTTTTGGAAAATTCTAAATTTATGATGAATTTGTTCACATTATAGATTTTAATGAGTCTATTGATTGCTTATTGGATTTCTATTATGGATTGACTTGATTAGATAATGGTTCGAATTTCACCTCTTGACATGAGATCAGCAAGTTCGTGGCATACGAATTGGGCCCTTAATGTCCATGGACCCACAAATTTGATCTCTCAACAAACATGAAGCCAATAATGACTTTCGAGAAATTTCATGATGGATTGGATTTGAGACCTAAATTCATCATTTAAATCTATGAAACAAACGCCTACTAATCATCAAAGATTTGATGAAAATTCTTTGTTTGCATGATCAAAATATTGGAAGACAAATCAAATTGATAAGGAGTTGTTTGCTTCAAAAATTTGGTGATGAGTTTGAGTCCAATCCAAATCCATTATGGAGTTTGCACAAAGTCAGTCTCTGATTGGCTAGTGGCTAAAAGATAAAGGTGCATCCCTTCCCCCGCTTTCAAAAATGATGAATATGAAGTCTGGAAGGCTGTAGATATTGAGCAGTAGTACTGCTCGTGGTTACTCAATTTTGAGTAACCACGGTGGCTACCAAAATTTACCTCTTTCATTACTTTTATCTCATCATACTTTTAAATTAACGATATAGATTAGATTAAGAATGATTTTGAAAACAATAAAGATACCACACTTAATTATTATTTTTTAAAATTGAATTTGTATATATTATAACCAAACCCTACTACCACCCTCTCTCATCCGCCTCATTTCCTCCCACTTTCTATCCAACGACAGCTCCCACCGCCATTCGTCCCTCCCACGACCGCTCACCGCCGCCTGCCTCCCCTCACTCCCCGCTAGGGATGTCAATCCAACCAGTAACCATGGGTACCCTACCCGACCGTAACCGGTCAACGAGGGTAATTACCCGCTTTGAAGGGTTAAGGGGCAGGTACGGGTAATACCCGATTTCAAAATAAAGGGTAGGTACGGGTATGGTAATCGATAATACCCGCCCGGTTATACCCGCCCCGCTAACTAAAGGGTCAATTTCCCTTGAGAAATTGAGTTTAGCTTGAGAAATTGGGTTTAGCTACCATTATTGATGATGAAGATGTAGACGATTATTATGTTTGTGTGGATTGTAGAAGCAAGAACAATTATTATGTGTTTGCTGTTTTTATTTGTGTGGATTGTTGAAACTAGAATAGTTACAAGTATTGAGAATTTTTAATGGACAACAGTATGTATGTGCATATATGTGTATAAGTTCATAGTTTAGGATTCATACCCATGGTTACCCGAATACCCGTGGTTACCCGGTGGGTAGGGTATGGTTATATAATTTTCATACCCGGTGGTTATTTGGTCGGGTATTTTAGAAGGCTCTACCCGGCGGGTTAGGAGTTGGTATAGTGTAAACCCGCACCCAATCCTACCCATTGCCATCCCTACTCCCCGGCCTTCCTCCCCCCCCCCCCCCTCCCTTTCTCTCCCCCTCTCTCCCTCTCTCAAGGAGATTGATGAAGAACATCTCGACCGAATTTCATATCATGATTTTTCATATTGGTATGTATTTTTTATAATGGTGTTGATTTTTTATATTAGATATGGGTTCTCTCGGCTAGCTTGGCTCTTAGCCAAAAAGCCACCAAAATCCACTTAAATGAGTCATTCCTATAGCTACTGAGCTCTAACCCTAGGACCTCAACTTGCACGACGTGGCACTCCATCCCTCCGTGTGAGTATATACTCACAAAAAGGGTTGTGAGCATATTAACTTTTTCCTAATTAAGGAACTGAAGAAAGAGGGTGAGATGGAGAAAGAGGGTGGGTCTCTATCAGTCGTCAGCAAGGTTGTTAACTCGTTTCACCTGTTGGTCTATTCAAGCAAGTAGGTTTAGGGTTAATAATCCGATCATTTTAGCTCAATTTAGTCCAAATATATAAAAGAAATCATTATATTGTTCATATATTTATAAATTATATTAAATCACATCTAACATATGGATAATAACATAAAACATTACACTAAAATAACAGTTTGTACTTGGATCCATAGTGAAATTTCAAACTCACTCATATATAACATCAATATTGAAATGTTCAACTTAGAAGTCTAAAGATAGGTTTAGGCAAAGGAGAAAATCATAAAAGAGGCATATTTCGCAAAAGATCGAGTTTCAGCACATGGACAACTTAGACTCTCCAAACCCAAGCCTCCTGTCACTCCATGGACCGTTTTGATAGAGACTTCAGCACATGCCGACCACCACCCACCAAACTGGAAATCAAGTTTCTAGAGAATGTCATCCCGAGAAGAAGATCAGAAGAAGATAAGCAAACAAGAGTCATAAAATTATCTGAAACCTTACCTCCTTGTGTTGTGTCTTACCTCCAAGAACCCAACCATGAGAAGAACTTCATAACAATGGGCACCCGACGATGAAAACATGGATTTAGTTTGTGCATTCTAATCTTTCATCCGCATCTGAGCCGATTTATAGAGGAGAGCTACTGCATCCGAATCACCGAGATATGTTGGGCGAAGCGAGGAGATAGACGACAGGCAAGAAGACGAGAAGGGATGATGATTATTTTACCAAAACCAACCACACTTTGCCAACACAAACAAAAGGATTTCTAAATATGATGAATCAGAGTAGAGCAGCAAAGAGAATCATACCAAACAAGAGGCGGAAGGTAGAACTCCAAAGCGGATTTGGGAGCATAGATGGACAACAGAAAAAAGGAGTACAAAAGAGAAAAGGGGAGGGTCGCTGATGGCAACAACTTAAGGAAGATTAGAAAAGGAGAGGGTTGCTCGATCAATGATTATTACAATGAATTATTATTTAAGCATTACTGTCTAAATAATTTTGTTTTGTTAAATTATTTTTGTGAATATTTATGATTATTATATATAATAGTTTGTATTTTCATATTACTATCAAAAATAGTTTGTATTTTATTATTTTGTGATAATATTTTATAAATTTCATCTATTTAATGATAAAATATAGTTTTCTTACTTTTTACTAATATTTGCACCCCTACTTTTCATCCAAACAACAATTTACCCATCCACTTGCAGCCTCCATCAATTCGTACCCTCGCGGTTTGCCACTCAACTTGCAACCCCTTCGAATTTGCATCCCTCTTCTTTCCAAACATAGAGTTAGTAAATCAGACAAAATTTTTTTTGGCTAAATTACACGTTTGGTTACTCTAATTATACAAATTTTTCACATTTGCCACCCGAATTACTTTTCTTTCTTATTCGCCACTAACTTTACAAATCGTTTCATCGTAGCCACCGGCCGTCCAATTCCGTTAAAATCATCCTATGTGGCAGTCAACCAAAGGCTTTGACCGTTAGTTAGATGATGTGGCAACAAAAAAACATTAATATATATTTTTCAAATTAAATAATAATATAATAAATATTAATTCCTATTCTAATGGCAATTCCTTCCGCCCCTTCTTGATACAGAGCTAGAGCTGATCCAGATCCCGCTCAGTCCCTGAATGGAGCAAATTCAAGAGCAGTGGCAATGCACTCTAAACACTTATCGCTGTCTTATTGTGATCGTGAAGAGCCAAGCTGGAAATCGCTCCGGCGGTGTGATCCTGCGCTTCGGGAAACCCAGCCTTCAACATATCAATCAACGGTGGGAGAAGCCTCGATCGTACAATCTTCCCCTTTTCTGCTTTTGCAACGAGAGGTTGACTAGAGAAGCGACGGCGTTCACCTGAATGTTCGTGTACCTGGATGAAATTACAGTTCGCAAGGCGGAGAGAATCGTCGGAGTTCAGAGATTGACGGAAGCCTCTTCTTTGGCCCTGGTTTTTTTGCCGGAGAGAAATTGAGGCCTCTTCAATTTCGAACACTTGTGGAATCTTCAACTTGTCGAGGAGCGCTTCCTCCACCGGGTCAATTACAGTTTTGTCAGTCTCAGATGAGGACGAATCGTCGTGTGGGGAATATCAACTTGGTCGGGTCGGCGATTGGAGCGGGAGCGACGAATTGGACGGATCTGGCTCGTTACTGGAACAAGGAGATTCGGAGTGGCCTCCCAAATTCCCAATTCCTACTCTCCAAGGCTTCTCCCAGTCCGCCACTTTTGCCTAGCTCATCTCCCAAATCGTTCTCGCCACTCAGCTCCCGACGTTTTGCTCCGCTGCCAGGCTCCTCTACTTACCCCATTTGTCCCCCCAGCCTCGAGAAGAATGTCGGAAAGGTCGTTCCTGCCCCAGCCATAATCTCGAAACTGCCTTTCGCCGCATCCCAAATGGGCGAGCTAAAGCAGATCTTCCACGCAGCCGACAACTCGACGATGGAGGTCATGATCGTGAACTCGCTGACCGAGCGTGAGCGCTCTTTGAGCCCCGGCGAGACGAAGCGGTGCGTGTGTCGGCAGACGACATGATTGACTTTGCCACGTCGGTCCTGGGGTCGGAGCGTGGAATTGGTAGCAAACTAAAAGTGATTTTATTTTTTATATTATTTTTTAGTTGCCACATCATCAAACTAACGGTCAAAACCTTTGGTTGACTGCCACGTAGGATGATTTTAATGGATTTGGACGGCCGGTGGCTACGGTGAAACGATTTGTAAAGTTAGTGGCGAATAAGAAAGAAAAGTAATTCGGGTGGCAAATGTGAAAATTTTGTATAATTAGAGTGACCAAACGTGTAATTTAGCCAAAAAAAATTAAAGAAAGAAGGAAAAGACAAAGGTTTACAACCAAAACATTGATATCATATTTCCAAACTTGATATTACGATCACATCATAAGAAACAAAATGCTCAGGTTTAGGTCCAGATCAGTTGGCCATTTGAGAATGAGAGATTCGGTGATTTACATTTTGGTCAAAATATGTCGCATCTAAAATTCGTGACAACAATAATGGATAAATTACACGTTTGGTCACTCAAATTACATAAATCTTTCACATTTGCCACCCGAATTACTTTTCTTTCTAATTGGCCACTAACTTTACGAATTGTTTCACCGTTAGTCACCGGCCGTTAGTCTCTGTTAAATCTGTTAGTTTTTTGATGACGTGGCAAACGGGACTGATGACTGGATGGTTAACTTAATGATATGTCAATTAAAAAATAATAATAAATAATAAATAATTAACAGGTGGTATGCACCCCACCGTGAACTTCCTCCACTGATCGCCAGCGGCCGGCGTTTGGCAAGCTGCCGCCCTCTTTCGTTGGGAGACTCGAAGTCCTTCAGAGGCTGTCTCCGGAAGGGATTGTCAACCGGGTAGCGAGTTTTCCAGGTCGAGCTCGTTCGCCTCGAATCTAACCACCGATCTGTAACCCACCCGAGTCGTCGACACGTCGTCGTCGATGGAGGACTAGCCATCACCACTTGGAGCAGGATTGTAACTGCAATTAATGGTAGCATTGATTCGAATTTTCTTACCCAGCAGAAGAGTCGGCTCCATCGTCCCCGCCGCCGCCGCTTTAACCATTCCCTTGATGTGATTCACTCTTTTCACGGACCGCTCCGCGTCAAATCTGGACCAGGAGCATTTTCCTCTCTCCTTCAACGGCGATTTACAGGGATTCGTTGCGCAATGCAGCCGAAGAGCGCGGAGAACAAGTCGTTCTCCTCTCGAACTATAGTTTCGAAACCGGATCTGGAAGCAGAGGGAGTGGAAGAAGAACGGAAGAGGAAACAACGTCAGATCTGGATGCTAGGCTGGACTGGAGGAACATCCGCAGGAAGAGGCGAAACTCGTGTCCTCCTCCTCCCGACAATCCTGCCGCCGCCGCGAGCGATTGAGCTGGTGGCAGAGTCGAGCCAATAATTCCACCTTCTCCCTCTTCCAGCACGGTGGTTCTTGGACAGGAACTGGTGGGGAACGAGACGGGTGGGAAGGGGAGGGGGCTCGAAGGTGGAAAGGGCGAAGAGGAGGAAGGAGAAGAGGACCAAGAAGGATTAGGCGAGAGAGGGTGGATTGTGTTTTGGAAAGGATTGGGTTGCTGGAATTTGTTCTTTTCATGGCTGGTTTTGCATTTTTCGGAGAATCGCCAGAGGAAGGGGAGGAGGACAGGTTGTAATCATAGTTGTGAGCCGTCTGTTTGCCGTCGGAAACGAGAATTCTGGATCCCGACGGAAGAGTTCTTGTGGTCGGAGAAGAAGAGCAGGAGGAAGCCCATATGTCACGGTTGCTATTGTCAGTGGTGGTGGTGTTCTTGGCCCAGTTGGAGTTTGCTATGATGCCCATAGGGGGTCTGAGTTCTGTAGGAATAAGATCGCCATCCCACAAATACCCACCATTCTAATTCACAATCCCTTTCGGAGGCAGCCTCCGACGGACATTGAATCTCCTAACAGAAGAGGGCAGCAACTAGCCAATCGTTGGCCGCGGGCGATAAGCAGAGGAAGTTCATGGTGGGGTGCAGGCCACCTGTTAATTATTTATTAGTTATTTTTTTATTGACATGTCATTAAGTTAACCATCCAGTCATCAGTCCCGTTTGCCACGTCATCAAAAAACTAACGGAGTTAACGGATTTTGACGGAGACTAACGGCCGGTGACTAACGGTGAAACGATTCGTAAAGTTAGTGGTCAATTAGAAAGAAAAGTAATTCGGGTGGCAAACGTGAAAGATTTATGTAATTTGAGTGACCAAACGTGTAATTTAGCCCAAATAAAATAAACAAAGTGGTTGGAAATTACCATGGCGCCCCTATTAATTGGTGGAGGAGATGATGTTTTGGAAGAGTGAAGAAGATAAATGGGAAATTTCGAAATAGTTTAGGCACGAATATTTCAAAACTCCAAAATCAATTATTTTTACGGTGTATAATCTCAAAATATCTCCCCTTTTCAAATGAGTTATTGTGCCAAAATCCGATAGTGGGAAGGATTATGCCAATAAATTTGGAGAATATTCTGTTAGGATGTGTAAAATGTGAAATGTGGTATTTAAACTTAAATACTACATAATTATCATATACCACAATATCTCTTATTTGACAAGTGATGGTAATACATGTGTCAATCACATTATATGTGATAAACTAAGAAACTAAATGTTGGGGGTGTTGCTAAGAGACTCCCCGCAGAGACTAAGTAATACTGCGTCCAATCGACAGCGAATGACGCTCTAAACCTGCTACGAGTATATAAAGGTACGAAATCCACCAAGGAAGGGGACTTCTTCTCGGGCTCCTCACTTTCCACTTTATACTATCTCTCTACACTTTATCTCTCTATCTATTCTCTCAACTCTCTCCACAAACATACACTAACTTGATCGTCGGAGCTTAATCCGGGGGGCAACCCCGACTCTTTCGCAGGCCTCTTCTCTCTCGACGAGATCAGACGAACAGATTCTGAGTCGACCCCACACCAACAAATATCATTGTTCATGCCAGAGCGACTTGGTACAAACAATTGGCGCCCACCGTGGGGCACTCATCAATTTTGTTCGACTGATCTCTGAGGAAGGAAGATCACAGTAGACGAGGCAAAAATCCAGAACAAAACAAAATGTTATGTTCTGGGAACAAACATGAAGTTCAAGATATGCCGACTTTGGGAAGGGAAACAACTCACTAGGGCTGCAAATGAGCCGAGCTGCTCGCGAGCGGCTCGGCGTTCGACTCGAAAAAATCTCGTTCGAAACTCGGCTCGTTAATAAACGAGCCGAACACGAGCTCACCTTTGTTCAGCTCGCGAAGCTCGCAAGCTAGCTCGACTCGGTGGCTTGTTGAGCTAAACTCGTGAGCTGGCTCGTTTAGAGCTCATGATATGTCTTAACATGTGGCTAGAGAGCCAACTCGATTACCAACTTATGGACGAATCAATCTATATCTTATAATTTTAATTCATATGGTTGTTAATTTATATATCTCACCATATATAAAGTTTTGCACGTTGAGTATGTGAGAAAATATATCTTATTTTCTACGGGTTAATTGCATGGTTGGTCACTGAGATTACAAAAAACGTTCATGTTTGGTCACTGAAAATATTTAAATCCAATCTTGGTCACTGAAATTAGTTAAATGGTTCAAGTTTGGTCACTCTCCGTCCAACTCCGTTAAATATGTCTGATGTGGCAGTCAACCCTCGAAGTTGACCGTTAACTCGATGACGTGGCAATTAAAAAACAATAAATAAAATAAATTTTAATCTTCTACCATTTCCAACTCATTTTCACAATAAAATAAAATAAAAAAAATAAAAAAATTATTATAATCACAAATTGAAAGAGTAGCTCCCTCCTCCTCCACCACCTCCCCGTCGTCGTTGCCGCTCTCACCACCGCCGCCACCATCAGCAGCCAGCAAAGCGACCTTGTCATTTTCCTCTTCCTCGTACTCCGTCTCCGACGAATCCTCGTCCTCCATAACCAGCTTCTCCACCCGTTCGTTCTCCGCCGCCGCTGGAAACTCGGAGAAATTCGGCTGATTAATGAAATTGCTTGCCGCGGCGTGCCCAAAATTGATCCAGCAAAGGATCGTCCTCTCAGCTTCGAGATGAACTTCAGAACAACGTTGGCAGCGTTGAGAGCAGCAAGGCTGCCGAAAGTCCGAATCGGATTGTGCCCCGATTGCTTGCCAGCCAAATCCGACATCCCCCTTATCACGATTACCGGTTGCCCATTTGACAAACACGTCTGCATCGACATGATCATGAGAGTTCATCGGAATGATGACGAGCTAAGGAAGCGGAGAAGAGTATTGTTAATTATACATACCATGACAACAGCAGAGCTCTCCATGTCCGCGGAAGAAACCTTGAAAGTCTCGAAGAGGAAGTCTCTGTAAGCTTTGTTGTCCACGAAGATGTTGGAGGTGGAGCCTCTCAGCCCGATTACCGCCTTCGGCTTCACGTCAAGGCACGTCGTTGAGTTCACGCACTGCTCTAGCTCCATCCCCTGTTTCAAACATACTCTGTTTTTTTTTACTTCCTACTCTGTTTCTTGGTGGCGCTTGAATTAAACCCATTTCCTTCTTTTTTCCAAATTACAGGGCTGAAATGAGAGACTACTTAAAACCAGGGGTGTTTTTGTGAAACGTGTTTGTTTCTGACCTGTACAGCATTGTAAGTTGAGTGGTGACATTGGAGGGCTAACTGAACTAAGATCCTTGTAAGTTCCGATCTTGCTTGTATGTTTTCGAAAGGGTGAATCGCTGAATAAGCTAGCTCTAGTGATGATTAGTTACCTCTTGCGTCGATCTCCAATTGCAGGGACTTGTCATACAACCGAGACCTCGTAGGGCCATTAACCCCACGGTTAGGCGATCTGCAGAAGTTAAACATCTTGTACAGTACCATTTCTTGCTCCTCCTTCTCTGTTTCTCTGTAATGTGATGGATTGATTACTTCAGCTCTTTACGTTTCTGATATGCTGTCTTGTTTTGCCAGAATCTTGGTGGGATGTGGCTTCAGTGGCGGAATTCCAGATGAGCTGGGGAAACTTTCAGAACTATCCTTCTTGTATGACCCTGCAAAATTAAATTACTTTGTAAATGGAGTACAAACCTTCTAATTACTACGGTTTTCACACGTTGGCTGCAAGGCACTCAACTCGAATAACTTGACAGGAAGAATACCCCCGCCATTGGGGAACCTCTCCAAGCTTTACTGGTTGGATTTGGCTGACAATCAATTGACAGGAAATATCCCAGTTTCCACACCGGACACTCCAGGCTTCAACCTCCTCCTCAAGGCTAAGCACTTGTGAGTGTCTGAAATCTGAATACTTGCAAACCTGTGTATACTATTTCATGAGGCAAGAATACATCAGGAAAGAGGTTTCATTCAATCTTTACACAAGTTTGGTATCTTTTTTATTTTACTTTATTGTGAAAATGAGTTGAAAATGGTAGAAGATTAAAATTTATTTTATTTATTATTTTTTAATTGCCACGTCACCGAGTTAACGGTCAACTTTGAGGGTTGACTGCCACATCAGACATATTTAACGGAGTTGGACGGAGAGTGACCAAACTTGAACCATTTAACTAATTTGAGTGACCAAGATTGGATTTAAATATTTTCAGTGACCAAACATGAACGTTTTTTGTAATCTCAGTGACCAACCATGCAATTAATCCTATTTTCTACTTTAAAAAGAAATTATGCATCATAGATTGCTTCGATACAATGAAATAACATGATTTGGAGTAGTTAAAATTTAATAACTAAACGATATATAATACCAACAAAGTATAAAGTATAAGATGAGATTAACTAACAAAATAAATCATATGTATCATGATATACAAAATGAAGTACCAAATAAAAGTTAAGATTTTAATAAACAAGCTAGCTCAAACTCGACTCGACTCGGCTCGTTAATAAACGAGCTGAGCTCGAGCTCGACTCGTTTATTAACGAGCCCAGCTCAAGCTGGGGTAAAACTCGACTCGACTCGGCTCATTTGCAGCCCTACAACTCACCATGCAAGCACTGTCAGCGCCCTGTTAATCCCCATCCCAGAAACCAAATCCACTCATCTCTGGTTTAATGGCGCGCAAACCGCGGAAAGCAAAAACCTAGATCCCGGTGACATTTACTTGCCGGCGACTGGAAGGGCATCGGTGTTTGGACGAAGCAACTTAGAAGATGAGCAGCAACATTATCGGGAAAAAGGGGGACAAAGGGAAGATAAAGGAAATTCCAGAAGCAAATCAGAAAAACATACACAGAGGAAAGTGTCCAGTTCAGGGGACAACTAAGAAGTTCCAGATCAAGCAACTCCGAAAAATAAAGGCAAAACGAGATTTGATACCGCAAGCAGACTTTCTCTTCTTTAGGTTCGCAACCTGGCAGCTTAGACCAAATCTCTACACAAAGTCAGAGGTTCCGGCAAAAGCAGAGATAAAAAAAAATGAAGAACAACAACCCAGATTCCGGGGAGCCAACCCATCTCCGGCGAAGAAGTTTCCACAAGCGCCACACTGCCCACCATTTTCCCAGATTCCAACCATCCGAGATTGATTCGGCGCCGAAGCTCTAAGAAGAAAGAGAATAAGTTGTGGTCGCAAGGAGTTGTCACATCCAACTGGTTCTCCAAAAAGATGGCGTTACTCTCTCTGCTTGTCAGAAGGAAAAGACAGGTGGAGTTCTCGAGGCAAACAATAGGTTTATCAAGGCAGCGTCTTGTAGTCCCGAAACGCGCCTTCCACGACTAAGCTGCGCCTAAGCCTGCGAGCGGGAGGAAAAAATCAACTTGGAAACTTCACCTCTACTTTCCACGAGCTCGGTTCTCCCGACTCTCTGTCCTCACCTCAGCTTTCAACGGCCGCCCCAACAATTGCCGCTGAAGTCATGGACGCCATGGCTTTTAATTGAAGCACCAGGAAGCTATGCCGCCGTAGCCGAAACCCGCCACTCCTGTGACCTGTCCGCCAGCACAGCTCTCCGCGGCGGACAACCAGACAGAAAAATCCCAGACAGTCCGCCACCGCTCGCCGCGCCGACCCACTTTCTGCTTCAGTGCCTCGCCCCAATTCTCGCCAAACATCTTCCACGCGTTCTGTCCGCCCCAGCTCTCAAGCTCCGCGCCGCAACTTTTTAATTGAAGCGGCGAACTTACGAGTCGTCGTACTCTGCTGACCGGGAAAGAAAATCGGGCCACGTCATGCTTTCGCCCACATCGGCGGTGGTGCGCTTTTAGCCCCTCCATCCCGCGAAGCGCGAGTCCGTCCCTGGTGCTTCCATCTCCATCGTGATAAAAAAAAAGGGAGAATGAGGAAGTGGCTTGAGCGAAGAAGTTTGGGAAAAGGAGAAAAGAAAAAGAAAAAGCGAAGGAATTGGCGGCCGCGCGACACTTATCTCCCTCCATCCGGCCTGTGGATTCCAGCCGGCCCGCTTAACTGGCCCGCACTCGCGGATCCAAGTCCGCCCCGTCCATCCTTGCTCCACTCCGCGTCAAAAATATTATTGCCGCCAACAGGAATTGAAATCACGCCCTTCCTCCGCTAGACAAGCAACATCACCAGTGGGCTGCATACGCGCCATGTGATGCTTAGGCGCAACACTCTTATTTTAACAACTCTTCGAGCCGCTTCGCCAACATAAAGCTAAGTACTCTATACCTCTATCATTATTAAATATTGAAATATTTTACTTTCATGAGCATTAATGGCGCTAATGGGGGGCAAGACGCAAGAAGCTGGCACCGCGTTAGTCAAACGCGCCACCAGCTGGGGGGCAACTGGGGTACATAGGGCCCCACCCAAAATTACCGACGAAGATTTAAAAAATAAAATATAAGCTAGTGATGAGTTAAAACTCACCACCAGCTTGGGGGGCAATTGTTGGGGGTGTTGCTAAGAGACTCCCCGCAGAGACTAAGTAATACCGCGTCCAATCGACAGCGGATGACGCTCTAAACCCGCTACGAGTATATAAAGGTACAAAACCCACCAAGGCAGGGGACTTCTTCTCTGGCTCCTCACTTTCCACTTTCTACTATCTCTCTACACTTTATCTCTCTATCTATTCTCTCAACTCTCTCCACAAACATACACTAACTTGATCGTCGGAGCTTAATCCGGGGGGCAACCCCGACTCTTTCACAGGCCTCTTCTCTCTCGACGAGATCAGACGAACAGATTGTGAGTCGACCCCACACTAAACTAAGATTAAGATTTACTTTATTTCTGCTAGAAGGATTTTCATGAACTCGTGATTTGCCAACAGCCAACGGCGATATTCTTGTTATCTTTTCAAGTTGTTCGCACACACTCACCCAGGGACGGAGCTAGCGTGTAAGGAGGGGGGGCCATGGCCCCCCCTAAAATATAAAAGTCTGACTTTGCACCAACAATGGATAATACAAGCTGTGGTCTAGCGGTGTGTAACATGTAATTATAAAGGAGAGGTCATAGGTTCGATGGTTGCTATCTGCACCTTTTAATTTTGTGAAATTTTGATTCCTAACCTCAAATTTTGCATGGTTTATGATTTGGTACCTAATTTTTCATTTTGGTACATTTTTCGTCCATTGTCTTACAATTTGGTACCTAAAATTTGCATGAATCATTCATGAAATTTTGCTTCTAAATCCCAAGTTATGCATGTGTGATTTGATAATAAATGTTTTCATTTTAGTACACATTTTGTCCCAAATTTCGCATACCTTACGATTTGGTACCTAAGTTTTCCATTTTAGTAGTGTTTTTGACTTTTTGCCCATTGTCTTACTTTGTATCGGACTTTCTCATCCACAACCTTTCTATACAATGCTCTTCTACTAGTTAAAAATAGACTTCTATGTGTCAATATTTTGGTAATTTGTGTTGAACGATAAATAACATAATAAACTTTACTTCAAAAATTTTATCGGCCCCCCCTAACCTAAATTCCTGGCTCCGTCCCTGCACTCACCTACACACATATAAACAAGAAGTTCATCTACCTCATCCGAAGCCCATAACCCAAGCCCAAAGGATGAAACCTAGCGAACAAGTTAACTCACGCTTTACAAGTCAGCAATCTACCACTCTCGACAAGACGACAACAACATGAAACAGAGTACTGTGGGAACACAACTAAATAGCGCAATACAAGCAGCGTGAAACAGAGTAGAAACAGAATGAGTCAATAACAACAACGAAACATCAGGTGACGTGATACCATATCTCTCTTCAACGATATCCAAACCAGGTTATGGACTCTCTGATGCAGGCATTGATGAACTGGAAGCTACGGCGGCCGTTATGTATCTGCGACGTCACCTTGGACTCTATCCAGATCAATCATTATAACCAGAGATTAAGCTATAAGCATTTTCTCCAATCTCAGTTAGCATTTTAGCACACACGTGGGGCGGGGAAGCATCCATGATCAACGTGGAGGAGGCCATAAACTAAAGTAGCTTTTGTTATCATTATTAGGTGAAACTTTTCCGGTTAGAAGTATGATTATTATGTTCATAAAGTGTGTCACTCGTCAATCGTCATGTGAATGTCTCATGAGTTGCGTTAATGATTCCGAGATTTTGTGTTCATACTTCATAGCCATTTGTACCCCCACTAACTTGTTCTTCAAATGTTAAGTACCATAATTTAGTGCGCTAATTGCGATCATGTAATGTTACCAAGGTTAAACATCATTAACCATCCACCAATTTTAATCACATAACTTTGTGTTAGCATTGTACCAGTATATTGATTCAAAGTATAAAAGAAAAAACAAATGAATTACATGTCCCCTTCCTTTCGGCCACTTTCAAACCTCTATGCCCCAAAATCAAAAGTATCCTAAACTGGACTGTCAAAGAAGGAAAAGCTTCGTGTAGTCCCATTCACAAAAGCTCTACTGTAAAAAGCAGCAATCATCATCATCAAGGCAATTGGAAAGACCCACCGATTTGATTCTGCCCAGCAGGCGGGTTGATCGCAACCCACAACAAGGAAATGCAAATAGAAATCAGTCCAGACCACACAAACACGATCGTCGGAGTCTTCCCCCGCCGTCCCATCAACCCTTTCGCAAACGGGTACATATGAACCAACACCCAGAAGCTGAAGAACGCGCCACCGATCAGATTGTTCCACTGGGGAATCGCACTGTAGATCGTCCTCGAGAATCCCACCGCGATCGCCACGATGTTCACTATGATGATCACGCAGGGAGGGATCATCAACGACGTCCACTTGATCAGGTACAGCTCGGCATACTCGTCGTCCTCGTCTGCTGCGGATTTGGAAGTCAGTGTAAAAGAGATCTCAATTCCAGCCACCACTTTCAAAAGCCCCTGTAGAACCGCGGCGAGATGGGCGCTGGTCCCACCAATCAACCAGAACTGCTCGTTCCTCCACCATTCCTCCAACGCGATCCCCGACCATTTGATTTCCAGAACCGCCAGCATGGTCAATGTGATGGTGATGACTAGGAGGTAGCTGAGGAAGTTGACGTCGAGCGAATTGACGATGAACTTGTTGGCGAAGAGGGAGAGTGCTGGAAGGAAGCAGTAGACGATCAAGAAGATGGACGTGAAAGGGTAGATCCCAACGTTGAGGTAAGCAATCCGCTGGAGGAATTTGAGGCGACGCCCGGCCAGCAAGGCGTTGTTGCGGGAGAAGAAGATCTCCACCGATCCCGTCGCCCATCGGAGCACCTGGTGGAGACGGTCCGTGAGGTTGATCGGAGCTGTGCCACGGAAAGCGTCGCGTTTCGTCACGCAGTAGACGGATCGCCATCCTCTCTCGTGCATACGGAATCCGGTGACCACATCCTCTGTCACGGAGCCGTAGATCCAGCCGACATTGACCCCCCACTCTGTTTTGTCCTCGTACCAGCAAGAGATCACATTGACGGCCTCGGCGATCGTCCCCGGCGTGAGTGGCGGACGTGGAGCTAGGAGTGCGCCTGTAAATAAAATCAAAGTACAGTTTAGTGAAAATGTAGTGAAACTCCCATAGGAATGACTCCTGCTGCATTTATCTTCTCCCATAGGAATCTACGTGAGAATTTTTGAGAATGTGACTAAGCTGACCTGGAGGACGTCCGTTTTTAATTGATGGATGATCTGCAAGAGGTAGGCCTTGATACGCAGCGACTCGAATCGAATCGACGAGCATGCTCGAATTCCCAAACTTCTTCGGGATTAGAGCGATGTTCATCGATTCATCGTCCATGTCCTCCATACCATAAGAAGACTGGCTGGATTGATCAGGAGCAGAGTCGAAAGTAGGTGCAGCATTGGCGGAGGCAGACTTCTTACTACTCTTCTTCCCGTACTTTTCCGCCTCCGGCGGGTCAAACCCGTAGAGGGCGGTCCGTCGGAACATACAACCTGTGCCGACATACACGGGGCCCTGGATTCCATCAAGAGCCCGCATGTTGACGTCGAAGAAGACCGTGTTCTGGTTCGCGTATCGATCCGATGGGTCGATCCCTTCGAATCGTTGAGGGAACTGAACGTAAGACAAGCGGTCACCACCGGCATCCATCATGAAGCACATCCCTTCGCGAATTGCTTCGGAATTGTAGATGTAGTGGTCGCAATCGAGGTTGAGGATGAAGGGACCGTTAGACATGATCGCCGAAGCTCGAACCAAAACGTTCATCGCCCCTGCCTTTTTGTTGTGGTCGTAGCCGGGGCGCTTCTCGCGGGAGACGTAGACCAGCATTGGCAGCCGCATGTCCACGTCGGATAGGTCCATTGAGTTGCCGTCGGAGCCCGGTCCTTTCATTAGCTCGTTGCTCGGCGGCTGCAGCATTACCTGTAAAAAAAAAAATTTTGTTTCAAAATAAGAGATCGAACAGTGATGAACAAGTAATCAAATGGGTTTAAAGTTTAAACCTTTAAGTTTAGATATAGTTAGACATTTTACCTGAATAATGCTGGCATGATCGCCGCGAGTGTGCTCCGGCCCCGGCGTGGTCCAAGTCCCGGTCCAATGAGTACCATCTGCCATCCAAGTCGCTTTGGTGACCTTAATCCTCTCAAAATTCTCGTCATCTCCCATCTCCTTAACCTTCTTCATCGCCTTGATCTCCTCGTGCGTATTATACGCATCCGAACGCCGTCGTATCGACTCCGGCAAACCATTAATGCACACCTTAAACTCATCGTACTCCCTCTTAACCCGCCGTCGATCTCGGACGAAATCAGCCCGGACCTTATTCTTATACGGGTCCTTTTTCAGATTGAAATAAGACTCTGGATTCCTCGGCTCGATGTTGTGCTTGCGACAGAAGGGGACCCACAGCCGGGCGAAGCTGGCGGCCTCCGCCATGGCCTCGAAAGTGAGGAGAGCTCCGCCGTCGTCGGAGACGTAGCAGGAGAGCTTCTCGACGGGGTAGTCGGCGGCGAGGATGGAGAGGATCGTGTTGGCGGTGGTGAGCGGGGGTTCTTTCTCCGGGTCGGCGGTGGAGACGAAGATGTCGACCCCGGGGAGATCGGATTTTCCGGCGGGATTGGTGGGGGATGGGGTTTCGAATTTTTCCTTGAGGACTTCGAGGTCCACCACGCGTTTGACTGGGCAGAGCTTGGGGAGCTGGTCGAGCAGCCATGAGAAGGAGAACCAGAGCTCGCATACTACTGACATCCCCCACAGCCAGATTGCATCCTCGTTTGGGTTTGTTACCCGCCATTCTATGAACATTGCAAGTGCTACCATCCGGATGACTATCAGCAACCTGCAGGAAGTGGAAAGTAATGTTCATTGAGAAATCAGCGTCGTTAGTTGGAGAAATTGAAATTTCTGTTACTCGAGAAGATTTAGTTGTGATTATATGGTATATTTGATTTGATGCCAGGTGAATGTTTGTGTTCATTATTAAGAACGGTATGGATCAATTTGTTTCTACCTCAAAACCTGTAAAAAAAAAAGTTCGCGGCTTATTTTACACACAAAAAAAATGTTAGGTGGTTGTTAATTAGATGTGGCAATTTCTATTGTGAACTACCAAAGTGATTCATTATTTATTCTGACTCGACTTGTCTAAAGTAGTAATCAATCATTTACACGACTCAGAACACTTGGATTCTCTTTCGGATAGGTCCTGAAAGGAAAAATAAGGCTGGAATGCCAACATATCTCTATGAATGGGTAAGTCGCCAATTATGATTCAATTGCTGTGACTTTGGACTCATTATCATGTAACACGTTTTGATTTGAAATTTTTCATTAATTAATAAACTTGTTCCATTCACGAAAATTTAGAGGTTTTACAAGTTCGCTAATGTGATTCACATACTATATTGATCTTAACCAATTAACACAATTGTGATACAACTAATTATGATTCATTACCCGTCCTTTATTATGATCTAACCAGTATCTTACTGAAACTATTCATAATTTTCTAGTTAACATTGTAGTCGCTTATCCAATTCCAACCCCCTCACAATTTGTTTGGATATGAAACAAAACTCATGAATTCATTTCCATTTTCAATTCCATCTTTTGTGTTTTGGAATGGAAAATTGTATCCAAATGAATTTTATTTGAGCTAAATTATATGAATTGAAAACCCTATAAAAATAAGTATGCATTGGGTTTACGAAAATGAAATTAATGGGGTTCTAGCAAATACTTATTATTATCTTATCATTTCACCTATTTCCTCTCTCGTTCATATTTTTTCCTAAGACAAATTAGAATTACTAATTATAAATTTATAGTTATAAATACATGTTATTTTCATAGTTCTGAAAAATAGATCAAATATAAGAATCGAAAATGAAATTTCTATAAAAAAATGTAGAATTGTAAATAGAATCTGAAAGTTTATCCAAGCAAATGATGATAATGATAGAAAAAAACTACTTTTCATTGATTATTCATTATTAAAAAGGAAAAACTGATCATTCTTTTGTCGAACTTGATGGGCCTCAACATATGGGGAAAATATTAAAAGGTTCCATGAAAAGGAAAACAATAAACATAAAGGATAGGGATGGGAGTGTGCCATAATAATGGGCTAATGGCTATAATTACGCTGAACTACCCATAGAAAATTTGACCTACTTAGTCCCGCAAATCAGGATACATGCACGAATTTGGGATTCTTACTTATTAGTTATAAGATTATTAATTTTCACTTTCTAGTAAAATACCAAATCACTTGAAGATTTACCATTTTCAGTTTTCACAGTCCAATTCAAGGTTTGACTTCCTTAAACAGTTGAGAAGAAAGAAAGGAGAAAAAAGAAAACAGAGGAAGGAAGAAAAAAAAAACAGAGGAGGAAGAGCATTACCGGTATGGACCCAGAATCGTGGCCGGAATACTGACTGTACGGGTGAGAGGCTTCCGCTGCTTTTCCACAAGCAAATTCGGATCCCCTCCGCCGCCGCCGTCCTCATTATTGCCATCACTCGACCACGCAGCATTCCCGTACCCATAATCCTTCTTCGAATCCTCGAACAAGAAATCCGAATCCGTCGAATCGAACATCCGCGGGTTCTTCATCGTCGTCAGCGTCCGATCCAACTGAGCCGACCCGTAATCCCCGCCGTCCCGATAACTGCTCTTGCAGCCGGGGCAAACCCCTTCCGCATCCTTGAAGCAGTCGCTGCAGATCCTGAACTCGCAATCGCACGGGTAGACTGGGTCCCCGCGATCGTCCGTCATCGCGGTCGCGTCGCACCCGGGGACCTGGCACCGATTTCCGCCTCCGCCGCCGCCGCCGGAGACGACGACGGAGGAGGGGAGGTGGCTCATGGTGGTCATGGCGCCGGAATTCTGCCGGCGGTACATGGAATTGGACATGTAAGTCGAAGGGTTCCGGTTGATCGGGATGAAAGGAGGGGAAGATTGGGCGGAGTCCATCGAAATCTCCATGGGCTGATTGTCGGGAGTGGGAGGGATGTGGACCGTGTAGGTCGCGAACTCGAGGCTGCTGCCGATGTCGCTGTCGAAGTCGCGGGAGTTGCTGAACTGGATTCCCGGCGAGGAGGCGGTGGGAGGGCCGCGCCGGGTGTGGTACGAATCGTGCATGTTGTTGTTGTTGTTCGCCATTGTTACCTCAATTGAGGAAGCTTGGGGGGAAGATGGAGAGGAAAATGGAGGAGGGGGGGAGATTATAAGGGTGGACCGAGTTGGGATGGAAGGGGGTAAATCCAAAGAAGGAAGGACTGAGTCCTGAAAAATCCGGCGATTCGTTTATAATAATAAATAATTATTTTAATTAATAAATCTGTTTGGAGGTGTGGAAGAGATTTAGCGGGCTCGGTCCGTCCGCCGGAAGGAGCTTTTGGGTATTTTGTCGTTTTGTAATTTGGGTTAAGGGTTGGGGAGATGTGGAAGGGAAAGGTGTTGCCGGCGGGACATATGGGGGAAGAAGAAGAAGGGAGAACGGAAGGGACAGCGGAGAGGTGTTTGGATTTTGGGATTTGAGTTCGGCGCCCGCGGTTGGTTGGTTAGTGGTGGAGTTAACGAGGGGAGAAAAGGGAGAGAGGGACACGCTTTACCCTACGCACGCGCTGGGCCCACGGGCTTAGGGGGTTTTCGATGAGTTTGTACGCGGCAATTTGAGGCTTTTGTTTCTCGGGTTTGTGTGCTACTGGAGAATAATGTTTTTTTTCCCTGCCATTTTTTAATTCCATCCGAAATCGAGCAAGTATAGAGGCGTTTCTAGTAGGAGTGGCAATGGCCGGTTTTTTGTGGGTAAGTCAGTACTTATATGTGTTTCGTAATATTTTGGGTTTAAGTCGGATAATTTGAAAACGGGAAGTATAAAGGCGTTTTCAATAACAACGATAATGGGCAGGTTTGGGTGGGTATCTCGATATTCATATCCGTTTTGTGGAAGTCGGATTCAGGTCAGGTAATTTATCATGAGTTGTGTCGGGTATGTCAATCCATATGAGTATGCAATTTAAACATAATTATTTAATTTTTCATTACAAAAGATTGAGAAACAATGATGAGTGTAGTTAAATTATTTGAAAATTGAGGTTATAATAACTTTGTTATGGTTAAAATATGAGCTATTAGAGGTAAAATGCTAATATCTGGGTAAAATTACATGTGATATAGCTAAGAACAGGTTAGAAATGAGACGGATCAGGGCGACGAGACTACTCATGTCCGTCCCACCCAATCTACGAGGCGGGTAATACCGACTTCGAAACAGGTCACACAGTTCAGATAAAACTAGTCAGGTCGACATTTCTAGTTATCAATTTGGCAAATTCCTACCTAATCAAAATACAGCTAGTAATTCACGGAGTTATTTGATATTCGAAAGATACGATCTATTGAGAAGGAGGGTGATTTAGCAAAGTTAAGTTATTGGGTTAATTGCAAGATTGGTCACTGGAATTACTAAAAACGTTCACGTTTGGTCACTAAAAATATATAATTCCAATCGTGGTCACTAACTTTATATATTCGTTTCACCAATGGTCACTCTCCGTTAACTTCATCCTAGGTGGCAGTCAACTCTCAAAGTTGACCGTTAAATGTGTGACGTGACAATAAAACATTAATAAAAAATAAAATAAAATATTTTCAAATTTCCACCTCATTGTCAAAATTATACAAAAAATGAAAACTATTTTGTTAGATCTTCGCCAGTCGCCACCGCTACAACAACTAGTACCCCGCAGCCGCGTCCCCTGGCCTTTGAGAAGCTCAAGACTGGCCGGATGTGCCTCTCCTTAGTTTATTCCGGCAAGAGGGTAGCGGCAGCGAGAGAAGGTGTTGTGGGTTACTTCCAACGAGAAGCTGAAGACTAGCCGGAGCGCTGATTTTCAAGTTCATCCGAAGACGAGCCAATCAAGACCAGATCAACGACTAGGAGGACAAGGAGGAGCTCGAAGCGGTGGCTGAGGTTCTGTACGCAGCACCTAGTGGAGGAGTAGAAAGTTGAAGCGGATCTGCCTTTCCCTTGTTTTAATCTGGCGAGACGCACCGACAGCGGGAGAAGAAAATGTGCCCCCAAATGGACCTCGGAAGGGAGAATCAATTGGGAAGAAAGAAGGTGATGCAGGTTAGTCAAACGAGAAGCAAGTTATAATACAATCAACTAACTTCAGATTAAAGTTGGTAGAATACTGAATACATAAAATCCAAGCAATGGAACAAAGAAATTACTATTGTTGTCTGTTGAAGCGAGCTAGGGAAGTGTAGGAAGCCATGGCTGCAAAGAGACGACGGAGGGAGGCAACTGGAAGAGTAATGGATGGAAATTAAATGAGTGACGGTAGGATGACCTACGTACAGAACTTGAAGCGCTCCGGCCAGCCTTCAGCTTCTCCACGGCTAGGGACTCGGTTGCGGGGCCCTAGTGGTTGCAGCGGCAGGGAGGATTAAAATGGTACTTTTCCATTTTTCATTTTCCCCTAATTTTGATAATGAAGTGGAAATTTTAAAAAATTTAATTAATTTTTTAATTGCCACGTCACACATTTAACAGTCAACTTTGATAGTTGACTGTCACCTAGGATGAAGTTAACGGAGACGGAGAGTGACCAAACGTGAACGTTTTTAATAATTCCAGTGACCACGAATGGAATTAAATATTTGTAGTGACCAAATGTGAATGTTTTTAATAATTCCAGTGGCCAATCTTGCAATTAACCCTTAAGTTATTTGTTGGGCGAACAATGATGACCTGTCAATCTCTATGGGAATATTTGAGAACATTTAACTTTGCTAAATTACTCATCCTCTACCAATTTTGAAACACGCATGGCACCAGACTACCAGCTAGGGCTGTTAATGAACCAAGCCGTTCATGAACGACTCGGTGTGCGACTCGAGAAAAACTCGTTCGACACTCGGTTCGTTTTAATCGAGCCGGCTCGCGAACAAGCTCGTTAACTAAACGAGCATAACTCGAGCCATACCATGTTCAGCTCGAAAGCTCGCGAACAAGCTCATTTAATATTTTGGCATAAAAAAAGGATTAGAATTCATAGATTTTATGTATTGAAATTGGGATAAATATTGTGTTTTACTTTTCTAGACTTTGTTACAGGTTTGAATGTAATTTTGTGTGCACTTCTAGGTCAATCTTGAGCTATCATGAACATTTTATGAGATGAACTCGAATTTGGGCTCGTTAAGCTTATTTGACGAGCCGATCTCGAGCCGAGCTCGAGCTTTCATTTTCATAAACAAGCCGAGCTCGAGCTTGCATATTAAAGCTCGTGACGAACACGAGCCGAGCTCGAGCCTGGAAATATATTAACGAGCCGAGCCCGAACTATGGCAAAGCTCGACTCAGCTCATTAACAGCCCTACTACCAGCCAACTCTGTATTGTTGATTAACCCTCTTTTCGTGTTCACTATATAAGCTAAAGTGATAGAAACTAGAAATGAGAATTAGGGATTGGAAGAGAAGAAATTAGGGATTCAAGAGGTTGGGGAAGAACAAGAGAGAAAGTGGGATTAGGGATTTGGGAATTCTTTGATTATTATTGCCTGCCTGAAAAATACGTTGCTGAACCTTTAAAATAGAAATTCTAGAGAACATAAAATAACAATTATGCCATTGGTCACCCGACCCGGTCACCCAACCCGCTGGGGCGGGTTTCTATCATCCCCTTCCTCTTCAGAACCGACCTTGCCCTCAAGGTCGAACATGGGGTACTTCTCCCGCAGCGTCGATGTCTCCTCCCAGGTCGCGTCCTCGAGCTTGACATGTCTCCACTGGACCAAGCTTTCTTCAATGAGTCGGCCCTTCTTCTTGGTCCAGCGCGTCTCTATCACTCGCAAGGGTGTCAGCTCTAAGTCCCCGTCTGCACTAACCGGAGGTGCAGTAGTCTCCACTCGATCCGCCGGACCTTTGTAGCGCTTCAACAAGGAAATGTGGAATGTCGGATGGATGCGAGCATCTACTGGAAGATGCAGTCGATAAGCCACTGGGTTGACCTTCTGCAAAATCTCATATGGTCCAAAGTATCTCGCGGCCAACTTCTGATAAGCCCGCCTGAACACTGTCGCCTGCCGGTAGGGGTGTAGCCGCAGCAGCACCAGGTCCCCCACCTCGAACTCTTCCTCGCACCTTCCCGAGTCCGCCAACTATTTCATCCGATTGTTGGCTGCAGCCAAATTAGCCCTCAACTGCGCTTAGGGCTGTTAATCGGTGGCCGGTTTTCCGGTTAACCTCGTAACCGAACCGAGACCGTCGGTTTTTCGGTAGACCGAAAACCGCAACGTCGGTGTCGGTTGGCGGTGTCGGTTGGCAGTCACCGGCAAATTAAAGAGGTTTGCGGTTATCGGTGAAAACCAAAACCGTGGCGGTTAAACCGAGACAACCGCGTGCCCTACCATCCCTGACTCTTCGGAGTCCCTGCTGCAGTCGTCGACCCATCGTCACTCGCCACCGCCCTTCTCGACTTCCCCACTGCCGCCTTCATCCTCCTTCTCGCAGTCCCAGACTCCCAGTAATCGTCAACATCGCCATTCCCCCATCGCTAGTCATCTCGCCATCGTCGCCCCGCAGTCCCGCCATCACCCGGCAGTCCGACGTTGCCCGACAGTTCCGTCGTCGCCCAAAAATGCCGACGTCGCCCAGTAGTTCCAACCTTGCCCAGCAAAGCCGATGTCATCCAGCCATCCCAACACCGCCCAGCAAGGCCGACGTCGCCAGCAGATCCAGAAATCCGGCCAGATTCGCCCTCTGCGTCGGTCTTCTGCTAACCGCGACACCGACCCGAAACCGTGGCGGCGGTTTTCGGCTAACCGACAAGGCCGTCGGTGTCGGTTGCGGTTGGCCTTTTTGGACGTTACTCGGCTGCGGTTAACCGCGGTTGCGGTTCGGTTAAAACCGAAACCGCACCGCTAACAGCCCTAACTGCGCTATTGCTTCATCCCTGTCGCCGAGCCACCTGTCGACTGCATTGACCGAGCTACTCTCGTCCCTGTAGCGCACCAGAGATGGAGGCGGCCTGCCGTACAGCGCCTCGAATGGCGTGGTCCCGATAGCTCGATGGTACGTGGTGTTATACCACAGCTCAGCCCACGGAACCATGGCCAACCAACTCCTCGGCTGCTGGTGTGTGAAACAGCGGAGATACTGCTCCAGGTGCCGATTAATCACCTCTGTCTGACCGTCCGTCTGGGGATGGTACGCCGAGCTCATCCGCAGTGCTGTGCGAGCCATGGTGAACACCTCCTGCCAGAAGTGGCTAAGGAAGATAGGGTCCCGGTCACTTACAATCGTCCGGGGAAACCCATGGTGTCGCACTACTCCGCTCACGAACTGCTCAGCTACTCCTCTCGCCGTGTATGGATGTGCTAGAGGCATGAAGTGAGCATACTTCGTGAGCCGGTCCACCACCACGAACATCACCGTCTTCCCTCCTGAGGGCGGCAAGCCCACGATAAAATCCATGTTGATGTCTTCCCATACCCGCTCCAGAACCGGTATCGGCTGCATCAGCCCGGCCGG